TCCATGGCGATGTGGTAGAGAGATAGAGGGGGATGAAGAGAGATAGAGAGGGGGAGAGGGGGAGAGGGAGGTGAAAGCGAAACGGAGAGCAAGATTGCGGAGCAATAGCTACACAACTCTTAGTATAAAATCTAACCTTTCTCTCTCTCTCTCTCTCTCTCTCTCTCTCTCTCTCTCTCTCTCTCTCTCTCTCTCTCTCTCTCTCTCTCTCTCTCTCTCTCTCTCTGTCTCTCTCTCTCGCTCTCTCTCTTTCACCCCTCTCTCTCTACTTCCCTCAGGATAAGGCTCTAGTAATTGCCCTCCTCCTTTCCTCTTCCTTTCACATTTCTCGTCTCCTCCCTATTCGTCTTGTCAGGCACAAACAAGTTTCCAAGGGCCCTGCAGGAGCTTAGAGCCCATTATTGTTACCCTCTGCAGTAATTAGGGGAGGCAACCATTTTATTACAGAAACAGATCAAATAGATCTGTTTCACCCCCACTTTAGATTAGTTGAGTTACAGTTAGTCACAGTTTGCTCTCCCAAAATGTGCAACCTCCCAGACACACCCCAACGTTCAGTCCATGGGCCCTTATTAATGTAATTGCTTTACATGAACATCAATGTTTCATTAGATAGCTACAGTATATGCCTATGCAACTGTATAGAATGAAATATATATTTTTAGAGTGACTAGCTTGTCATTTATGAATGAGTGGTACCACAGGGGTGATCCATAAGTCACAGTGACTACACCGTTCCTTTTTACTTATTCATGGAATGATGGATTAGGAGAGTCCAATCAGGAATACATGGAATAGCTGAGGGACGAATCAGAGTGCACATTCTTAGACAAAAAAGTTCTGGATAGAACCAATAAGGGTTCTATTGCTTGCTTCATATATGACACCCCTAAAGGTTCTATATATAACCCTTTTGTAGGGTTCTCTGATCAGAACCGCAGGGGTTCTTCTTCACCAAACAAAAATTGGTTCCATATAGAATCCTTGGGGTCAATATAAGGTTCCATATGGAACCAATTTCAGGGTGACATATATGAAGCATGCATAGAACTCTTGGTGGTTCTATACAGAACCTTTTTTCTAAGAGTGCAGGATATAAATATTAAGTAGGGCTCCCGAGTGGCACAGTGGTCTAAGGCACTGCATCTCAATGTTTGAGGCGTCACTACAGACCCTCTGGTTCAATGCCAGGCTGTATCACAACCGGCCGTGATTGAGAGTCCCATAGAGCGCCGCACAATTGGCCCAGCATCGTCCGGGTTTGGCCGGTGTAGGCCATCATTGTAAATAAGAATTTGTTCTTAACTGACTTGCCTAGTTAAATAAAAGTAAATATATATACAGTGGAGAGAACAAGTATTTGATACACTGCCGATTTTGCAGGTTTTCCTACTTACAAAGCATGTAGAGGTCTGTAATTTTTATCATAGGTACACTTCAACTGTGAGAGACGGAATCTAAAACAAACATACAGAAAATCACATTGTATGATTTTTAAGTAATTCATTTGCATTTTATTGCATGACATAAGTGTTTGATCACCTACCAACCAGTAAGAATTCCGGCTCTCACAGACCTGTTAGTTTTTCTTTAAGAAGCCCTCCTGTTCTCCACTCATTGCCTGTATTAACTGCACCTGTTTGAACTTGTTACCTGTATAAAAGACACCTGTCCACACACTCAATCAAACAGACTCCAACCTCTCCACAATGGCCAAGACCAGAGAGCTGTGTAAGGACATCAGGGATAAAATTGTAGACCTGCACACGGCTGGGATGGGCTACAGGACAATAGGCAAGCAGCTTGGTGAGAAGGCAACAACTGTTGGTGCAATTATTAGAAAATGGAAGAAGTTCAAAATGACGGTCAATCACCCTCGGTCTGAGGCTCCATGCAAGATCTCACCTCGTGGGGCATCAATGATAATGAGGAAGGTGAGGGATCAGCCCAGAAATACACGGCAGGACCTGGTCAATGACCTGAAGAGAGCTGGGACACAAGTCTCAAAGAAAACCATTAGTAACACACTACGCCGTCATGGATTAAAATCCTGCAGCGCACGCAAGGTCCCCCTGCTCAAGCCAGCGCATGTCCAGGCCCGTCTGGATGATCCAATGACCATCTGGATGATCCAGAGGAGGAATGGGAGAAGGTCATGTGGTCTGATGAGACAAAAATAGAGCTTTTTGGTCTAAACTCCACTCACCGTGTTTGGAGGAAGAAGAAGGATGAGTACAACCCCAAGAACACCATCCCAACCATGAAGCATGGAGGTGGAAACATCATTCTTTGGGGATGCTTTTCTGCAAAGGGGACAGGACGACTGCACCGTATTGAGGGGAGGATGGATGAGGCCAACTACCTCCTTCCCTCAGTAAGAGCATTGAAGATGGGTCGTGGCTGGGTCTTCCAGCATGACAACGACCCGAAACACACAGCCAGGGCAACTAAGGAGTGGCTCCGTAAGAAGCATCTCAAGGTCCTGGAGTGGCCTAGCCAGTCTCCAGACCTGAACCCAATAGAACATCTTTGGAGGGAGCTGAAAGTCCGTATTGCCCAGCGACAGCCCCAAAACCTGAAGGATCTGGAGAAGGTCTGTATGGAGGAGTGGGCCAAAATCCCTGCTGCAGTGTGTGCAAACCTGGTCAAGACCTACAGGAAACTTATGATCTCTGTAATTGCAAACAAAGGTTTCTGTACCAAATATTAAGTTCTGCTTTTCTGATGTATCAAATACTTATGTCATTCAATAAAATGCAAATTAATTACTTAAAAATTATACAATGGGATTTTCTGGATTTTTGTTTTAGATTCCGTCTCTCACAGTTGAAGTGTACCTATGATAAAAATTACAGACCTCTACATGCTTTGTAAGTAGGAAAACCTGCAAAATCGGCAGTGTATCAAATACTTGTTCTCCCCACTGTATATATATATTAAGAAACCTCCGGTCTCTGATGATGTCACACAAAGGAAGGGAGGGGTAGGGATGGGGAACACTAGAGATACTGTATTCACCTCTTCCTTTCTTAGTACACTAAAATTCTTCACACCACAACAAAGCTTTCTACAGCTAGGAGCCCCAGCTATGTAATGTGTTGATCATTAGGTAATATGCATTTACAGTACTGCAGCTTACAGAGCATTATAATCAACATATGACTGAACTTATTAATGAGAGTTCCTACTTCTTACATTATTAAAACACTTACACTAGTACAGTATGTAACTTGCTTGGAGAAATGGTATTGAAGTCCTACTAAGGGGGTGGCTTAGCAAATTGCATCATGGGAGAAGAAGTAGATAAAAATTATGCTCAAGGTGGTCGGTGTAAAATAAAGAAGTCAACATGACTCAATGTATTAATGTTCCTATGTTATTAAACCACATACATTTATGTGTGTAAGCTATTAGGGGAAGTTCTAGGCTTCCTAAGGATGTAGGATGTGTGGTTTTTAAATTGCATCATGGGAGAACAATTATGCTTGAGGCTGCGAAATAGGTTGGAGGATCCATTGCACTTCTACAGACATACATTATTTAAGGTCTGTTCAAATCCTCCACAGGCAACGATATTACTCCATAGCTCCATAGCTATCAGAGTGTCAAATTGAATATCATTGTGGCTTGTAGCTTAAATGCCACACATTTCAACAGACAGGTAACAGTCTTCTTCCAGACAGGGAAGGCAGTGATGTTGAAACAGATTGCATTCTCCATGTGTTGTTGTGCCACATCAGATCCATTGCTCTGATATCTTCAAAGTTGTATAACAATATTCAACCTCTAATAGATGTTTCCAAATTATCATGCTTACTGTTCATCTCTTTGTTAATAATTTATTAAACTTTGTTGTCGTAATTGGACCACTGTGGGTACTAAGAGTCTATAAAGGGGCCATTACGATGTATTGCTTCTTTAAATCTAAGCAGGATCTGTCTAGCTACCCATTCCAGGAAAACAGAATCAATGAAAGGAGCTGGAATTGGTTTTGTAATTGTGACCTACATATGATGAGTTAACCAATTGTAATTGTGACCTACATATGATGAGTTAACCCATTGTAATTGTGACCTACATATGATGAGTTAACCCATTGTAATTGTGACCTACATATGATGAGTTAACCCATTGTAATTGATGAGTTAACCCATTGTAATTGTGACCTACATATGATGAGTTAACCCATTGTAATTGTGACCTACATATGATGAGTTAACCCATTGTAATTGTGACCTACATATGATGAGTTAACCCATTGTAATTGTGACCTACATATGATGAGTTAACCCATTGTAATTGTGACCTACATATGATGAGTTAACCCATTGTAATTGTGACCTACATATGATGAGTTAACCCATTGTAATTGTGACCTACATATGATGAGTTAACCCATTGTAATTGTGACCTACATATGATGAGTTAACCCATTGTAATTGTGACCTACATATGATGAGTTAACCCATTGTAATTGTGACCTACATATGATGAGTTAACCCATTGTAATTGTGACCTACATATGATGAGTTAACCCATTGTAATTGTGACCTACATATGATGAGTTAACCCATTGTAATTGTGACCTACATATGATGAGTTAACCCATTGTAATTGTGACCTACATATGATGAGTTAACCCATTGTAGTTGTGACCTACATATGATGAGTTAACCCATTGTAATTGTGACCTACATATGATGAGTTAACCCATTGTAATTGTGCTTGCCTTCACTTTGTTGTTTTCCATTTGGCCTTTTGATGCATTTTGAAGAGCAATTTGTCAGCTATGTTCCTTGTCTCACACTGCTGAATGCCTCATATGGTACTCTCTAATGCAACAATGGATGTCTCAGACACATAAACAAAACCAGAGCTTCCCAGTATTCACCACAATGTATCTTGAAAAAGTTCATTTACTCACTAATATCATGACACCGTCACAGAATTTAACCACAAAACCATGGTCCTTGTATCTATATGGATGCATGTGACCTTCCATGGTAGTTGTACTGACTGTCTCTGTCTCTCTTCTGTCCAGGGTGCAGGTGGAGTTCTATGTGAATGAAAACACCTTTAAGGAGAGGCTCAAGCTGTTCTTCATCAAAAACCAAAGGTCAAGTAAGTAGAGTACAGCACAGAGAAGTACAGTACTGTCACAACATAACAAGGAAGTCAGAGACCTGGAAACGAGAATAATAATCACTCTTATCTAATGCAGGGAGATAACGTAAGTGATAAGGTGCATTGCATATCCAATTTCAGCTCCAGTCAGGGTTTTCAATTAGTTGTCGCTGTATCTGCATACCATGTAAGTGTGTAAGGAGGACAATGCTTTAGGTTTTTTGTTGAGGGAGAGGGTATTATCATTTCTTATTAGGACATAAGGCAGTGGTACAGTAGGCTCTTTAAAAAATACATTATACCTGTCCAACTTGCCATGTACAATGCCCAATGTGTGTGTTAGACATCAGTCTTCAGTCTGTGTGTGTGTGTGTGTGTATGTGTGTGTGTGCGCGTGTGTTTGCGTGGTAGGTGCCTGTTTGTGTGTGTGTGCCTGTGTGTGTGTGTGTGTGTGTGTGTCTGTGTGTGTGTGTGGCTGCAGTATGTTGTTACAGTTTGCAATGTATTAGTCATTATCGATGAGCAACTTCCAATCAGTTATAGAAAATAAACATCAGGGCCAAATAGAAATGTCATGCAAACCCAACTCGTATAGAGCCTGCTGCTGAGCCAGCAAGCCATTTACTATGATTGTTTTGGCCTGTTCAGTTTAGAACCATTGTGAAGCGTTGATGTTGTAACTGTGTCCCCTGGTGAGTTTATACTGCAAAGAGATTCAATGGCAGGCAGGCTTGGATGATTGAAAAGTGAACATTGTCTTTGTAAGGCAACTAGCACCATCCTCTGACTTACATGTGTATCTGCAGCCAGGCAAGTTGTGTGTGATTGTCCATTTGTGTGTGTGTGTGTCAATGTGTGTGTTCAGCCTTGTGCAAAGGCAGTGTTGTTGTAATGCCTTTACTGTCACCATACTCTGGGTTGTGTTTTCTTCCTCAATTATCATAATAATTAATCGTCTATTCCACTGCTTTATATACCTGCCACAACATACAGCATTCAAACATGACCTCCCCCACAGGTTGTCATAGTTGTTGAACCCTCTCTTTAATCCCTACTTCAAAGCAGTGACACCTGTGCTGTGTTGTTGCTGGGAGCTGTGTGTGAAAAAGATGAGTCAGGGTAAATCAGATGTGAAGGCTTGCCAGACCAGCATGAAGCCGTGTTAGTCATGGCTCTGTGCATAGACATATATTGTCACTTTAGACTGGTCAGAGAGAGAGCAGAAAGCACAGCCTGGGCACTTAGACAGGTAGGGTTCAGGGGAGGAGAGATGTCCGGTAGGGTAGAATCACTGGCTCTGTGCGTAGACAGATTGTAATGAATACTCAGGGAGAAAAAAGGTGTAGATTCACGCATTGAGCGCGGCAGGTGTTTATTTAACCTTTGCAGAAGGCAGGAATCGTGGTCACAGGCAGGCAATGGTCCATACACAGGTAGGCAAACAGGCAGGAGAATCAAAAACTAGGACTGAAGGCTATAACTGGTTCTCACAAACGTGCTAGGAAAAGGCTTAGTAGAGTCAAAATGAACAATACGTCACAAGGCACAAACAGAATGAATGCAACTAAATAAGGAGCTGATGAGACCAGGTGAGTAACTAACACAGGTGAAATCAATGAACAAAAATGAAAGACAGGGCTACGTTCAAAAACACAAAGAAACAGGGCTACGTTCAAGAACACAAGGATGACTAAGAAAAAGAAATACAGAACCTTACACAGATATAGTCACTTTATTCGGGCCAGAGACAGACAGAGAAGCAAACAGAAGGGCAGCACTCTAACAGGTCAGTTAGAATAAGTAATTTTTTTCGGAAATCTGTAAAGCCTAGTTGATATAATAAAAATGACCATTCAGAATGCCGCAAATGCACATGGCAGAGGTAATTAACAGAGGACAGGCAACAGTGAAAGAGTCTGATTTTTGCCATGATAGAACTGATTCTGACTGGAAGGCTAAATGTGCAGCAGTAATACAATGTATTACTGCTCAGTGCAGTAATACAAATATAATCTTTTTTATTAAATTAAGTATTTCAAATGTCATGGTAGGTATAAACAACAATTACATTGATAACAAATATTTTTTATTACCAAAATAGCCCTACATTTTTTTTTCTCCAAACATGAACACTCACTCAAGTAATAAAATACTAACATCTGCTTGGATATCCGGATATTCAATTAACTGTGCCCACCCCTCATTGGCCCGGGATAAGGTCAGTTTCCGAGTTAAAAACAAACCTTCTAGACTTGTATATCCCTATACCAATGTGTCTTGCATTACAAAAACTTGACTGCAAACATCATCCAGATGTACTAATATAGGCCTAATTAAGCAGATTCGTTTTTTATTAGGGGATAAATCAGCACAAATTCAGTTTCTCATTACCATATTAAATTATTAAGCTTAATTTGACCTTTGTTAACTATAATCGTTTAATTCCCTATTGGAAACAGGTGAACAGATTTGCTCCCAATGCAATTACTTAGTAAATCTAGCCTTTAGTGTTGTATTGTGTTTGCTCCCCTGCAGGCCTGAGGATCCGTCTGTTTAACTTCTCCTTGAAGCTGTTGACGTGTGCCCTTTATGTCATCAGAGTGGCTCTGGACGACCCTGAACAGGTCACTGGAGTATGGTGAGACTCCTACAATTGTATCTATCTCTTACTAGAGTCCTGCTATTTCACCTCTTACTAATGACTCACCATGTATGCTAAACTGTGATTTGTCATTTGGCTGTTGAATACATTTACATTTACATACATTTTAGTCATTTAGCAGACGCTCTTATCCAGAGCGACTTACAGGAGCAATTAGGGTTAAGTGCCTTGCTCAAGGGCACATTTACGTCATTTAGCAGACGCTCTTATCCAGAGCGACTTACAAATTGGTGCATTCACCCTATTGCCAGTGGGAAAACCACTTTACACTTTTTTTCTTTTTTTTTTTTTTTTTTTTGGGGGGGGGTAGAAGGATTACTTTATCCTATCCCAGGTATTCCTTAAAGAGGTGGGGTTTCAAATGTCTCCGGAAGGTGGTGAGTGACTCCGCTGTCCTGGCGTCGTGAGGGAGCTTGTTCCACCATTGGGGTGCCAGAGCAGCGAACAGTTTTGACTGGGCTGAGCGGGAACTATGCTTCCGCAGAGGAAGGGGAGCCAGCAGGCCAGAGGTGGATGAACGCAATGCCCTCGTTTGGGTGTAGGGACTGATCAGAGCCCGAAGGTACGGAGGTGCCGTTCCCCTCACTGCTCCATAGGCAAGCACCATGGTCTTGTAACGGATGCGAGCTTCAACTGGAAGCCAGTGGAGTGTGCGGAGGAGGGGGGTGACGTGAGAGAACTTGGGAAGGTTGAACACCAGACGGGCTGCGGCATTCTGGATGAGTTGTAGGGGTTTAATGGCACAGGCAGGGAGGCCAGCCAACAGCGAGTTGCAGTAATACAGACTTGTGTGGGTGATTGGAGACAGAATACATACAAACTTTACTGATTATGTATTTTATTCCTATTGATTGATAAATGTGGTATTCATCCATGTGGGTATAGTTTGATTCAGAGAATATAACTTTGACACAGTTGAAAAAAATATATATATTTGGTCCAGATAAAAAATATTCAGTTTCTATGACTTTGAAATTAGTTTTTAATCTGTGTGCGTGAGACACAAAGCCTGAAAGAGCAGCGTTGGTGATGGGGCAGCCTTTCTCTCAGTCTCAGTGTAGTAATGTGGAAGCAGGATATGTTTGTTTGTGTATCACGCCGCCGGCAGCTCTTAAAGACATAGTCCCTCTGCCTCCCGGCCGTCACCATGGCAAAATACAGTACTGAGTGAGTGATGGTGACTATTACCCACAGGATATATTTTTCACCACACACACACTCTCTAAATGACTTCCTTCCCCCCCACATTTCCTATGAATTTCCTTTGCAGTGTCAACTGTCAGAATAGAACAAGCACAGCCACAGCAGAATCCACAGAAATCACAGAAATCAACTGGTAAGTTATTAGGGTCACTGCACATTGACTTGACCCTGGGCTTTGAATGTGTTTTGGATTGTAATGTGCTCAGCGAATCCCATAGCTATCAGGTGGTGTTTTGGAATTAGAACTGTCTAACCTATATGGTGTATTTATAGCCTACTCAATAATACTGTTTTGTCTTGTGAAAGGGAGAATTAGTTTTGTCTAATAATCAATATACAGTACATACTGTATAATCAATAAGGTTGTTTTGTCTTGTGAAAGGGATTTGATTTTCTGGGTGAACAGAAGGGTTCCTGTCTGGGCGATACAGGTAAGAGTCACAAACATAGCTTTGATTTATAAAACTGACCTCTCATGTTTTTCATTCTACAATAGCCACACAATCACTCTGGGCCGAACCCATATGCATACATATCCCCATGAATCACCCATTGACACCGATGTAGGATTTCACACAGATTTCAAGATTCTGTCCTCTCTATGGCTTTCCTAACATTTTGGAATTTTATCCTTACCAAGAGTCATCCTATTGGTACTGTAGTCCAAGTAAAACGGAGCATCTTAACACTCACAGCATTTCAACTGAAAACATTTTACAGCAGGAAGGATTTTAGAAAAGGAACGACTTTAGAACACATCTCTCTCAAGTAATGGATTGCCTTTGGTGCTGGGGTTAGATTGCAACCCTGGTAATATGAGTCTTCTGTCTGCTCTGCTCCAGGTGACCGTGGCCTTAATCAGTTTCCTGGAGGCTATGCTCCTCACATATCTCAGCTACAAGGTATGCCACCTCAGCTCTACTCAGTCAGAGTCAAATAAGCTAGAAGGAAGTAATTTCATTGAGCAGTCCTGAGGCATGTCTGTGTGAGATTGCAGTTAATTGGTGAACTTTCTGGCAAAGTTTTTACCGCGAGCAGTGTGAATGCACCTTCACTTAGTTCTAACCTGAGCCAGAAGAACAGATCATTAATACACTATGCCATTGATCAAAGCCCTGGAATCCCAATGAATAAAAGATTAGGTGTCCATCCTACATTGATTTTATTTCCTTAAATATTCCATTAATTAAAGTGCTACAGTGCTAAGTCTCTTTGATGAATTAGGTGAAGTTTGATTTACTTCAGGAGGACAAAGTACATTGGGTTTTAGTTTTAGTTTGTTTTGGCAGATGGCTCCTATCCCCATTTGTTTTAATGAATCCTGTTATTATGCTAAGTTATGAGGGCTTGTCATTACTCCAACGATATTGGTGTCCGTTGCTTTGGCATTCTGACCTAGTCACTATTACTGTAATTAGTACACAGACAGAGCCAATGCCACGGCTAACACTTTGAGCGTTTGCTCTAGTCTACCAGATGGGGGTTCTACTGCCAGATGGGCAGGGGTTCTACTGCCAGATGGACAGGGTTTGCAGTTTTGGCCCTATTTTATTGGTTCCATTGTGCCAGGCAAGCAGTCAAGCTCAGCTAAAGTATTTGAAATTATTTAGAATAGTGTTTGAACCCAGGTGTGATTGATCATAGGTATTTTGGCATTCTGATCTGGTCACTATTACTGTAATTAGTACACAGACAGAGCTAGTACCTTATTGCCTTGGCTAACACCGCATTGATCCTGTTTCTTTGTTCCAGGGGAATATCTGGGAGCAGATGTTCCAGATCTCCTTCATCCTGGAGATGATCAATACCGTGCCATTTATAATTACTGTGAGTCTTCTTCCACCTGATCTCTCACAAACACACACATGCACACACACACACCTTGTTTTTCACTGTACACCATAATAAATGATTTCAGTTAATCTAGACACTTATTTTTTATTTAATTTTTTTACCCCCTTTTTCGCCCCAATTTTGTGATATTCAATTGGTAGTTACGATCTTGTCTCATCACTGCAACTCCCCAACGGACTTGGGAGAGGCAAAGGTCGAGTCATGCGTCCTCCGAAACATGACCCACCAAGCCACTCTGCTTCTTAACACCTACTCGCTTAACCCGGAAGCCAGCCGCACCAATGTGTCGGAGGAAACACCGTTCAACTGACGACTAAAGTCAGCTTGCAGGCACCCCGCCCGCCACTAGGAGTCGCTAGAGCGCGATGAGCCAAGGAAAGCCCCCCGGCCAAACCCTCCTCTCCTCTAACCCGGACGACGCTGGGCCAATTGTGCGCCACACTATGGGACTCCCGGTCACGGCCGGTTGTGACACAGCCTGGGATCGAACATCCTTAGACCTCTGCACCAATCGGGAGGCCCCAGTCTTCTAATACCAATGGGCTTCAGGCACGCTGATAATGTATTGGTTTTGAATGGCTGTGGTCTGATTGTGAACTCACAGTGCATGATCTCCCTCTGACATTCTCATCAAGCATCAGGCTCACAATGTCCAACAGAGAAATGGGACAATATGCAAATGAGTTGTTGCCGCCTCCATGAGGGATGAGGTGCTGAAAAATGTATTAATTTCAGTCCATATCCCACAAGCATACAAAAAGCATAGTTTTTGCGGCGTTTATGGTGTCGATTTCAGGCTCTCAAGACTTAGGAGTATGGTAACGCAAGACTATGAGTATCAAAATTTGATGATGGGAGCATAGGCCTACACTGTACATGTGCATATTGCCTTAGGCTCGAGTATTAATTCATTAAATTGTCTTTTCAGATCTTCTGGCCTCCATTGAGAAACATCTTCATCCCAGTGTTTCTCAACTGTTGGTTAGCCAAGTGTGCCCTGGAGAATATGATTGTGAGTATATGCTATAACCATAAGCAGCAGGCAAAACCGGACAAAACTAGTTGCAATGATGTCATTTCAACCAGTTTCGCTCGCGGGGAATACATGGGGTTTTCTATCAAAATTATTCAGTTCTAAGAGATTATATACAGTAGTCTACTTGTAGAATAGCCAAACTCTGTCTGCATTATGTGGGAGGACAGTCCAAAGCAGTGGTGGGTAGAAAATTCCCTAGTTATAGAGTCAAAAGACACACAGTCAGTTTCCATTTGTATTGAGTAAAGCAAACCGTCAATGAGTGTAGATTTGAGGCAGAGCCAGCAGCATCTCTCTGATGGTTAGATCCAGGGCTAAGGAGACCAGTGCTGGGAGAGAGAACATTAACACGGTATGAAGGGACGTGGTGGTTAGGTAGCTTGAAGAGATTGAAGGGAGGGGAGATGGTGGGTAGCTAGTCAGCCAGGCAGAAACATTAACAAGGTGTGGCATGGACTGCATGGTCACTGGTATATCTGAGTAAAGGTCATATTTACGGAATGGTTGACTGCATCAGTATCAAAGTAACCAGATATGTTTGATAGAGAAATTAACAGACAGAGAGTCGGTGTAGATCAGTGGTATTCAAAGTCGGGGTCGCACCCCCCCCCCCCCAAAAAAAAATAAATTAAAAAATAATATATATATATATATATACAGTGGGGAGAACAAGTATTTGATACACTGCCGATTTTGCAGGTTTTCCTACTTACAAAGCATGTAGAGGTCTGTAATTTTTATCATAGGTACACTTCAACTGTGAGAGACGGAATCTAAAACAAAAATCCTGAAAATCACATTGTATGATTTTTAAGTAATTAATTTGCATTTTATTGCATGACATAAGTATTTGATATATCAGAAAAGCAGAACTTAATATTTGGTACAGAAACCTTTGTTTGCAATTACAGAGATCATACGTTTCCTGTAGGTCTTGACCAGGTTTGCACACACTGCAGCAGGGATTTTGGCCCACTCCTCCATACAGACCTTCTCCAGATCCTTCAGGTTTCGGGGCTGTCGCTGGGCAATACGTACTTTCAGCTCCCCCCAAAGATTTTCTATTGGGTTCAGGTCTGGAGACTGGCTAGGCCACTCCCGGACCTTAAGATGCTTCTTACAGAGCCACTCCTTAGTTGCCCTGGCTGTGTGTTTCGGGTCGTTGTCATGCTGGAAGAACCAGCCACGACCCATCTTCAATGCTCTTACTGAGGGAAGGAGGTTGTTGGCTAAGATCTCGCGATACATGGCCCCATCCATCCTCCCCTCAATACAGTGCAGTCGTCCTGTTCCCTTTGTAGAAAAGCATCCCCAAAGAATGATGTTTCCACCTCCATGCTTCACGGTTGGGATGGTGTTCTTGGGGTTGTACTCATCCTTCTTCTTCCTCCAAACACGGCGAGTGGAGTTTAGACCAAAAAGCTCTATTTTTGTCTCATCAGACCACATGACCTTCTCCCATTCCTCCTCTGGATCATCCAGATGGTCATTGGCAAACTTCAGACGGGCCTGGACATGCGCTGGCTTGAGCAGGGGGACCTTGCGTGCGTTGCAGGATTTTAATCCATGACGGCGTAGTGTGTTACTAATGGTTTTCTTTGAGACTGTGGTCCCAGCTCTCTTCAGGTCATTGACCAGGTCCTGCCGTGTAGTTCTGGGCTGATCCCTCACCTTCCTCATGATCATTGATGCCCCACGAGGTGAGATCTTGCATGGAGCCTCAGACCGAGGGTGATTGACCGTCATCTTGAACTTCTTCCATTTTCTAATAATTGCGCCAACAGTTGTTGCCTTCTCAACAAGCTGCTTGCCTATTGTCCTGTAGCCCATCCCAGCCTTGTGCAGGTCTACAATTTTATCCCTGATGTCCTTACACAGCTCTCTGGTCTTGGCCATTGTGGAGAGGTTGGAGTCTGTTTGATTGAGTGTGTGGACAGGTGTCTTTTATACAGGTAACGAGTTCAAACAGGTGCAGTTAATACAGGTAATGAGTGGAGAACAGGAGGGCTTCTTAAAGAAAAACTAACAGGTCTGTGAGAGCCGGAATTCTTACTGGTTGGTAGGTGATCAAATACCTATGTCATGCAATAAAATGCAAATGAATTACTTAAAAATCATACAATGTGATTTTCTGGATTTTTGCAGAAAAAAACCTGCAGAATCGGCAGTGTATCAAATACTTGTTCTCCCCACTGTATATATACTGTATATACGTTTTTGAGAAAGATAATTTGAAATTAAATGTTTTTGAGTAAATGTATTTATTGGGTTCTTTTCATTTTGAAAATTGAATTGAAGGTTATTTGTTGATGTAAAAATACAAATGTACCTTAAGGTTGTGTCATTAGATTTAGGGTGGAATGGGTCCCCATAAATTATGGCAGAAGAAATGGGGTGCCTGCTGAAAATGTTTAAATACCACTGGCGTAGATAGATAGGCTGGCTGACCAGCAGACCAACTGACTGACCAACCAATTTAACATTAACTCTCCCTCTCACTGTCTTTCTCCTTCCCACTCTCCCTCTATCCCTCTTTCTCCTCAGAACGATCTCCATCGTGCCATCCAGAGGACCCACTCTGCCATGTTCAACCAGGTCCTCATACTTATCTGCACCCTTCTCTGTCTGGTCTTCACCGGGTATGTGCCCCCTGATCCCAGCCCCTTTTCCCGGGAACTAACAAGAGCAGATGGGAGAGGAGGAAACAACTTTCTGGAATGAAATGCACCCCCTGATATTAGCCCCTCATCCCTGAAGCTCCCTGGGACCTTCTCCTCTTAGCACTGTCATCTTGAGATGTCATTATCCAATACAGAGAACTAACTGAGGAAGTCAGGCAGAACAGACAGCAGAATCAATGGTGTCATTCTCACTGATTACACAGATCAGAGCAGAAGTGTTGTGGTGCATCGATCGTGGGGAAAGTAGGATATTGATCCTTAATCTGCCAGGCTGGAATTTCTATGTGGAAGTAGATGTATGCCAAAGTCTCTGTTGAAATATCAACGGTAATGAGGCCGGTAGGAGTCAGTAGGTCATATTGGCTCATCACCCTACAATATCAATACATGATATTGTAATTCACCTTTCTCTTTGTTAATTCAACGTGCCCATATTAGAATTGAATCTGTCTTTATTCAAATAAACACACTGCTATTTCCTCATGCATAGCCTAGATCCAGCATTATAGTGGTTCTCCATAACACAGATTCAGAAACCTACAGCAATGAGCGTTGAGCGTCTATGCTCGCAAGATTACCTTGTGCAAAATGTTGCCCCCTAAATGTGAAATCCCTCTCCTCCTTCCAGGGCGTGTGGTATCCAGCATCTAGAGAGGGCCGGGAAGAACCTGACTCTGTTCAACTCTCTGTATTTCTGCATCGTCACCTTCTCTACGGTGGGCTATGGTGACGTCACACCTCATATCTGGCCTTCTCAGCTGCTGGTGGTCATTCTGATCTGTGTGGCCCTAGTGGTGCTCCCGCTACAGGTATAACAGTGCTTATACAATGGGAAAATAGCCTATAACCACAGATGTTTTTTTGAAAGATAATTGAGGCTGAAAATGATTTACCCTAATGTTTCCTGGGTTGACTGTTGATTGTCCTCAAACACTGTATCACCACATTTGATTCAAGAATTACCTGATCAGAGCTGTTTGGAAATAATAGCTGTATACCTGTAGTAGTAACCATTCATAAAGTAACATCCTGAAGGCTAAGACTGCTTGAGCTTTTTTTGGAACTCAGAAATGAGAACACATTTTGCATTTTAATGATTTATCAGACGCTCATATCCAGAGCAACTTACAGTTATTGCATTCACTAACTGTAAGGGGGTGGTGGGGTTTGAGGTGAGGAGGGGGATTATTTAAGATACTCTTTGAAGAGGTAGGGTTTCAGGTGCTTTCAGATGATGTGCAGGGACTCTGCTGTCCTAGCTTCAGGAGAAAGTTGGTTCCACCATTGGGGTGCCAGGACAGAGAAGAGCTTGGACTGGGCTAAGCGGGAGCTGCCCTCCCATAGTGGTGAGAGGGCCAAGAGACCAGAGGTGGCAGAACGGAGTGCTCGGGTTGGGGTGTAGGGTTTGAGCCTGAAGGTAGGAAGGGGCCATTCCTCTTGCTGCTCCGTAGGCAAGTACCATGGTATTGTAGTGGATGCAAGCTTCGACTGGAAGCCAGTGGAGTGTGCAGAAGAACGGGGTACATGGGAAGGTTGAAGGGGTTTGATGGCACAAGCGGGGAGCCCAACCAACAGCGAGTTGCAGTAGTCCAGACGGGAGATGACAAGTGCCTGGATTAGGACCTGCGCCGCTACCTGTGTGAGGTAGGGTCGTACTATACGGATGTTGTAGAGCATGAACCTGCAGGAGCGAGTCACTGCTTTGATGTTTGCAGAGAACGACAGGGTGTTGCCCAGGGTCACGCCAAGGTTCTTTACACTCTGGGAGGGTGACACTGTGGAGTTGTCAACCGTGATGGAGAGGTCTTTGAATGGGCAGGCCTTCCCCAGGAGGAAGAGCAGCTTCATCTTGTTGAGGTTGAGCTTTAGTGAGTGGGCCAACATCCAAGCTGAGATACTGTATCTGCCAGGCACGCAGAGATGTGTGTCGCCACCTGGGTGTCAGAAGGGGGAAGGAGAAAAGTAGTTGAGTTTCATCCGCATAGCAATGATAGGAGAGACCATGTGAGTATATGATGGAGCAGAGTGACTTGGTGTATAGAGAGAAGAGGAGAGGGCCTAGAACCGAGCCCTGGGGGACACCAGTAGTGAGAGCACATGGTGCAGACACAGATCATCTCCACGTCACCTGGTAGGAGCGGCCTGCCAGGTAGGATGCAATCCAAGAGTGTGCAGAGCCTGAGACGCCCAGCGCTGAGAGGGTGGAGAGGAGGAGCTGATGGTTCACAGTGTCGAAAGCAGTGGATTGATCTAGGAGTATGAGAACAGAGGAGAGGGAGTCAGCTTTGGCAGTGTGGAGAGCCTCCGTGACACAGAGAAGAGCAGTCTCGGTTGAGTGACCCGTCTTGAAGCCTGACTGGTTAGGGTCAAGAAGATGGTTCTGAGAGAGATGGTGAGAGAGTTGATCAGAGACAGCACGCTCAAGTGTTTTGGAAAGAAAGTAAATAAGGATTTCACACAGCAGCAACCCTCCTCATTAAGCCTTTTGATATGTTGCCAAAATCCCCACAGTATACATTAGCTAATGAATAGAATATATAGAAATCCATTTCATGAACTTTACTTCTGAATCAGCATTTTAACTCCTCACTCTGTCACCCTCCAAAAGCACATCATTAGGCTATAAGTTTGTTACATACAGTAGCGTCCAGCAGGTTGTTGTAACTCCAAATGTGTGTGTGTGTGTGTGTGTGTGTGTGTGTGTGTGTGTGTGTCAGTTTGAGGAGCTGGCCTATCTGTGGATGGAGCGTCAGAAGTCAGGAGGGAACTACAGCAGACACCGGGCCCAGACAGAGAAACATGCGGTCCTGTGTGTCAGCTCTCTGAAGATAGACTTACTCATGGACTTCCTCAACGAGTTCTACGCTCATCCTAGATTACAGGTATGTCTACAGGAATAGAGGAAGGCTATGTTATTTGGTGTGTACTCCAAAGACAGAGCTAAAGGACGGAGCTCAATATTTCTGTTTTATTTGTCACCCTTTTCACTAAGACGATCAAATCTCGTGCCTAACAACATGTGCAATTAGCTTGCAAAATATCATAGGTAAAAATGCAAACATTCAGTCTAGATATAAGGTATCTAACAGGTATCTACCCTGCTCTCCTGCAGGACTACTATGTGGTGATCCTATGCCCTACGGAGATGGACATCCAGGTGCGTCGGATCCTCCAGATCCCCCTGTGGTCCCAGAGGGTCATCTATCTCCAGGGCTCAGCGCTCAAAGACACAGACCTCATGAGGGCCAAGTGAGTGACCCACTGCCCACGGGGAGTAAAGAGTCTCAATGGGAGAGAAGGGCAGCGTTGAACAGGGCTCAATGTTGTGGTGCGTTATAGATAGAAATATCACGTCTCTCGGTCAGCTCCATTCTATAACATTTCTAATTGCAATGATAAGGGGAAGCGAGGGGGATCAGAAAAGTTAATGACACCATCAGTTGAGGTCACAGAGGTCGGCTGTGGTTACCTCAGTTAAGGACCAACCTCTCATTAACCTTTTATTGAGTCCTCATAGTTACTGGCTGATAGGCTTTCTGATCTCAGATATGAGTCAAGCGTCTGTGAGTGAGTCTGTGTACCTTGTGGTGCTGGCAGATAAGAGAGCAGTAAAATCAGGAAAATGGCGGCCTAAGGTATTCATTCAGTTGACTTTTCTCTCCTAGTACAGTATATCAGTGTAATGGGATTTCTCACTACTGCTCATCCTCGTCATAACAGCCAAGTTCAAAAGCATCAACACACACTTTTGCAAGGGTATATCACACCAAAACGAGTTGGCACTGGCAGGGGCTGACCTGTCAATAACACAATACAGGCATCCATTGATATGCAGCTGTTCTAATGTATAGCTGCAGTTTTTATTGTAGCCATAGGGTGGATGTTATGGAATGGTGATGGATGGTTGAATTGTGGTCATACTGCTCGTCCCCATGAGGGAAAACTGGGATGGCGTGAAATGTACCCTGTCCACTGCAGCACAGCGCTGCATGGCCATTCAGTGAAAACAGGGTCGTAATTCCAGCAGCTCATCCCACACCCATTTTCACGCATGAAATGACTCAGGATGATACAGAAATACAGTAGTGAGACAGTACAGTGCACATTCCAACAACATGGTGCTGTTAGCCTATTAGCTTTTCTCACAGGTAGTTCTCACTAATGATACCTGTCTGAAGCTTCCTTGGCTTGGCTTGTTGTGTGTGTGTGTGTGTGTGTGTGTGTTTCTGTAATACAGTGTGTTTCCTACAGGATGGATGATGCAGAAGCCTGTTTTATCCTGAGCAGTAGGAATGAGGTGGACCGCACTGCTGCTGTAAGTTCATTATCAGATTCATGACTTCATATTCAGCTCATTGCAATCATAACTCAGTACATGTCCAAATATGAATAGAGTTACGATTGTAATTAACTGAATATTTCCACTCCAACTCCCTCACAGTTAGATCGCGATGATTGGATCTGTGGCTCAAGTACTCTTTTACTTTTCCACTCAGTTGATTTTTCAAGATGAACAGAAATGAAAAAAAAAAGAAAAATATATATTGGATTTATATACCCGTATTGGGTACACATTACAGCCTAGCTTGCCAATTCTCAGAAGTGGCAGATGGTAAGGGATGTTGTTTTCTCCTGCAGGACCACCAGACCATACTGAGAGCCTGGGCTGTGAAGGACTTTGCCCCAAACTGCCCACTGTACGTGCAGATCCTCAAACCAGAGAACAAATTCCATGTAAAGTTTGCTGGTGAGCTTGCCTCCTCGCAGATTGCAGTCTCCCTGTCTCTTTCTCTTACATTCTCTCTCCACTCCATTCTCTCTCCACTCCATTCTCTAAACCACTCCATTCTTCACTTTATCTCTCTAACTTGCTCGTTCCTTCCTTCCCTCCCCACCCCACTACACTTACAAAAACCAAGTCCTTACAACACTTGCTCTGACTTACAGTATTCTGGTTTATTTGTTAGATCATGTGGTCTGTGAGGAGGAATTCAAGTATGCCATGCTGGCTTTGAACTGTGTATGTCCAGCCACATCCACGCTGGTCACACTCCTAGTGCACACCTCCAGAGGACAGTGAGTACACCACATTAACTTCCCATTAAAACATGAATGAGTCTCTCCCTTCTACTGAAAACTCAGCAAATAAGCATCAATATTGGAACCATAAACCTCGACTTTGGGGTTGTGAGAAAGTGCTATACAAATACAATCCATTATTATACATGCAGGTTTTGAAGTGTGAAACCGTAACCTATAAATTGAGGTTTCCTTCTTTCTAAAGTGCCAAGAAGCCACAACAACAACAACAACAAACAAATGTGGTTCTGGCCAAAGGCATTCATCTATTGTGGTCTCCTTCCAGAAAGCTACTGCACTGCCATAGAGTTTACCTTGTGCCTCCACACTCATAAATCTCACTGTGTGCTGCCATCAACACCAAGCCAAGGTGATAAAAACTTCAGCACCGTTATAATATCCACAGCTTGTGTAATCCTCTTTATGGAAACTTGGATAGGCTATTTTCTTTTTATGTGACAGGTTTTTATGGATAAGTTTCTCTGAAGTCATCAGATTGATTAAAAGTGAAAATGTGAAAGGGAGAGAGAGAAGGAGAGCGAAAGAGAGGAGAGAGAGAGAGAGATAGCGAGAGAAGAACAATAGATGCAGAGTATGGCTGAGTACAAGCTCATAAAAGGTCAGAAGCAATTTGTTTGGCCAGATGGAGCTATAATTCAAGGGAAAGTGCTGAGTTGCAAATCAAGCCAAATGAGTACTATTGGAGTGGAGGTAACTGAGCCAAACCAGAGTGTTTATCAATACACCTGAAAGCATTCAGTCTGAAAGCATTCAGTCTGAAACCATTCAGTCTGAAAGCGTTCAGTCTGCCATTTTTTGTACATAAAGAAGAAGAAGAACCATATATTTTTCACACTACTGAGCCGAACAATGCCGATCCGAGCCAAGCTGTACTGTGCTGTTCAATTTACATATCCATCAACCATAGTTACTGGAACTGTGCTGGAAAGGACAATGTGAAAATAAAATATCTGAGCCAGCACATTACGGTTCAGGAGGAGACTGTACTGTGAAAAGGGAATCAGTCTCTTCATAATAGCTAGTAGTTCATCACTGTCGAGCATCTCAGGTCAAGGTGTTGTCAGGTATTAGACCACTGAGTCTCTCCTCTCAGATACTGCTATTACAGAGAGTCAATGAATTGCTCAATCATCATGGGACATAAGGCCACAATGAGTTTCCTCCACTTCTTATGTCCTTAACTACAGGGAGGGCCAGCTGTCTCCAGAGCAGTGGCAGAGGACATATGGACGTTGCTCTGGGAACGAGGTCTACCACATTCGCCTGTGTGACAGCAAGTTCTTCGGGGAGTACGACGGGAAGAGTTTCACCTATGCCTCCTTCCACGCACACAAAAAGTGAGTAGACAGGCTTACTGATTATCCTGGTAACCCAGGAATGTATCAGCCTCTGTATAAAAGACAAACCATGATAGCCTGCAGGTGCTCTCTAGGACTGGAGTTTTACACCACTGGATTAAACAACAACATATCAGATGACTGAGCCTACTCTTCATTTCTCTGGGGGTGTTGGAAAAAAGGCAGAAGGCTAATTTCTGCTCTAACCAAACGGACATTAAAGTATCTATTCCATCTCCCCTCAGGTACGGTGTGTGTCTGATCGGGGTGAAGAGGGAGGACAACAAGAGCATCCTGCTGAACCCAGGTCCTCGCCACATCATGGCCGCCCCAGACACCTGCTACTACATCAACATCACCAAGGAAGAGAACTCCGCCTTCATCTTCAAACAGGAGGAGAAGGACAAGAAGGGCCTGCCGGTGGCCGGGCTGTACGACGCCCCCTCCAGGCTGCCTGTACACAGCATCATCGCCAGCATGGGTGAGAAACGGGGAAGAGGGATGGTGGGAGGGAGGGGAGAGTGAGAGAGAAGGGTCTATATCTTCCATATCTGATAAAGGGGTTAGTGGGGAGGGAGGGAGGGAGGTGGGGGGACGGGGGGGGGGGGGGGGGGGGGGGGATGGAGGGAGGGAGGGAGGGAGGGAGTCTCATGTAGAGGGTAGTGGGGAGAGAGGGATGACTGAGTTTTGTTTTTATTTCTTCACTCTTCACTGCTGTGTATGAGCTCAGCTACAACTTTTGCCAGGTCAAAGATTTCACAGTGCACCTGCTGTATGGGTCATTCCACGAAATGAGTGCCTTTTGCGTCCGTTTGATATTTTACGTAGATGTTGTGCACCAATATTACATTTTTTATAGCCTGTTATATTAAATGAAGTGCCCTTTAATATAGACCACATGAAGAATTCAATCAATCAGATTTTTATATGAATAAAGGCTTGCTAAAGTGCCAGAATTCTGCATTTTGACATGTCCCTCCGTCAACCCTGTGTCACTTCTAGGAAGATTGTAACCCACTTAATCCCAAAATGGATCGAAGTTTCACCATAATTGTAAAGCCCTAGTTAGTTTGTTGCTTTGACAAAGTTATTTCTGAAGATTATTATTTATATCAAATGAATAGTGATTTATTTATGTCCGTCCCTCATTTTAAGTTCAACTCTGTTACGTGAATTGAACTCTCGTTTAAGATGGTGAAACTATTCCTTTTTAAATATTTGTTTCGAAAGAAACATTGACCATCTAATAGTCAAATCATAGAGTACAAGCAGGTGAGCTAATTATACTATTTTTGGCTATTTACTGGTGTTTTGTGGTGAGCGGGTCAAGCATAACACGTCAACCCTGTTACCCAAGATAGACAGGCTAGAAATGTTATATCAATTTCAATCTTTTTTTTGTGAAGCTTGCCACTCCATGTTGCACACAACAAGCTTCCATTCCCCCTGTCACAAAGGGATTCATGGATGATTTAAGAAGAAATTGTCAACCCTGTTACGTTCAACCTTGTTACCTTATTTGGAACTTAATAGACACTTACTATAGTATTATTAATTTTTTTACCTCTTGAGATGGAAATAAAATGTTTTTTATGAAGTTGAACATGTGCTCTTTATGCCAGAATGTAAAAATTAGGTGAAATCAAACGTTTTTTTATTTTATTTTACAAAGTTACACCTCTCAAAAGGCTCCAAATTGGTGGAACGACCCGTATGTTGGCATTGACATGGTGGTGATTTGTTTGTGGTGGTTGTTGTGTGCTTGTGCTCTCTTTCATGGCATGCATGTGTTATTTTCTGACTCTATTGGCTATTTTCCTTTTCTGGGCTGACTTTTGTTGTTGTTTTTTCTACTACCACTTGTTAAAGTTGATCAGGCCACTTTGTATGGTAAGTTTGTGCATGTTGCTACCATACCATTGTGCTATCTATTGTGTAGGGTCATTCTTTTGTGTGATTGTTACAGCTTGATATTTTATGTAAATGTATTTGCTGTTAATCAGTGTTTTCTTGACAGGTTTTTGCACATAATTTTACATCATTTTAGTTCTGTTTATCAAATTAGCATGAACTGTCCTATCAAAATGTTGTATGTGATACGTTATGTATGACTTTTCATACAGTATGCAGTCCATATATACTTTTGACATAAGCACGTCTATGTGGTTTTGCATGTGCTGTGGGGTTCCTTTACTTTCAGCATAGTGCCTTTAAAACCCTAAAGTCAAGTGATGAAGCTACTCGTCACTATAACAAGATAACGTTTTGCCTGCCTTTGTAGCCTTTCAGAAATGAGATACAAAAGGTGGACGCATCTGCTTTGATCAGATGGCTTTAGAACTTGTAATTTACCATGCTGACAATGAACTCAAGGGCATCCATTCAGTGACGGCATTGAAGTAATTTTGTATTCAACTGTTTCTGTCAAGGTAGTGTATAGCACAGCTGTGACGGGTACTTTATAATTCTATAGAATGAGGGTAGATGGTATAGTGTAGATGGGTCGTTCCATGAAATGGGTGCCTTTTGGACATGCAAACTTTTTAGAAATTAACTTTAAAATATATCTTCTTTCAACATTCAATTGCATGGAAGATATGTTTAGTCTACGTAAAAACACCTTTTAACATCTTAGGCATTAAAATCCTATGAACTAAGAGTATTTTATCTGCACTTGTACCACAATGTCTGTCAACCCTGTTACGGACACTTATGTAACTTCCTAACTATTAAAAGCATGTTTGAGAGAAATCCAACATTTTCTCATTGTTAAAGCATCCCTTGTACAAATAAACTCACATAATATCACACTGATTAAGTTACCGTTGGGCCTCTGACAGGGTTGACGATAACAGGGTTGAGGTTTTAGGTGAAGATCGGCCATTACTCCTCATGTGGTGAAGATCATGGGACCACATAGAAATTATACATACTGTATGTTCCACACATAATGAAAATGTAATCAAATTCAAGTTTTCCTAACATTAATTGAGCGAACATGGTTGACGTGTTGAGCTCGACCACCTCAGTCAAAGATGATAAAACAATTATAAATAGACCAAAAAGAGAAAGAAGACTTACTTCCTTTTCCACCATGCTGTTCAGAAGACCCAAACGATGTCACCTGTTGTGAATCATTTATTTTGGTGGAATGGTACATTATTTTAAAGGGGTAAATTGTTTGCACAACAGGTTTTACCTTAAAATTAAGGACAGACGTAAACGCATCACTAATCACATGAATATCAATAATAATATTCAGAAATGACTTTGTAAAAGCAGCAAAATAATTAGGACTTTACATAGATGGTGAAACTTGGATACATTTTTGGATTAAGGGGGTTGAAAATGCTGAATTTCTGAACTTTAGCAAGCCTATATTCATATAAAAAAATCTGATTGATTGAATTCTTATTGAATGTGGTCTATATTAAAGTGCATTTCATTTAATATAACAGGCTTTTAAAATAAAATATATATTCAATATTGGTGTATAATTTCTACTTAAAATATCAAAGGGACGCAAAAGGCACCCATTTTGTGGAACGACCCAGATACTGTTGAGTAGAGGACATTAGTCTGTAAAGTCTACTAAAATGAAATGTAGAGAGGAAATATGAGTTTGATGGATGAGTGTGCTGCTTTGGGGAAGGACAAAAGACAAAGTGATTTGACCAATTCAACTAAAAGTAATGACAGCACACCAGCTGTGCAGGTTCATTTCAATAAAAAAAGATGATGATTAAAATAATCATGAATATCATCACTAGGCAACATCATGTGCTTAAAATGTATAGTGTGTTAATAGGAAGGATCACCAAAGTTTTTTTTTGCAGACATTTAAACAGTTATCAATAAATGGACAATATCAATTGACAATGAAGTCCAGCTATCTAACAGTAGGGCCATTTACACTTCAGCACCACCCCATACATATAATTGTCTCACCCTCCATTCTACCACCTTTTCCAGGGACGGTAGCCATGGACCTCCAGCACCCGGCGGACCCCCCAGAGGACAGCAGTAAGCTGACCCTGCCTACAGAGAACGGGGCTGGGAGCAGACGGCCCAGCATCGCCCCCGTCCTGGAGATAGCTGACTCCTCCTCCATCCTGCCCTGCGACCTGCTCAGCGACCAATCAGAGGACGAGACCAACCACTCAGACGAGGAGGGCTCGTCTGTGTCAGAGTGAGTGTCCAATCACAGGGGAGGAGAGGATTGGGAGGGGTTTAGGAGTTTCTTTGGCGGGTCGGGAATAAATTGGTGGGTTGCAAGAAGTTCCTACTTGATGGATTATGACTGGGCTGTACCTAGAAATAATTGTAATTATCTGAAGGGTTATGAGAAGTAAGAGTCCATTCAATACTTTCAGCGTCCATTCAGCTCAAGGTTGAACCACATATCTACTCTATCCATTCAATCACAGAAGGTGAGAGGAGATGAGTGTGAATGGGATGGGGGTTAGAGCAGGTGACTGTGGATCACGCTCATTTGACCTTCTGTCAGAGAGAGAGAGAGAGAGAGAGAGAGAGAGAGAGAGAGAGAGAGAGAGAACTGGTCATGGCCAACGACTCATGGGGTTACGGTCAACTTGAAGTTCCACAGTGGTCATGTGATATACAAGCCTTTGGAAAAAGGATGCACTCACTCAGTCTCAATACTGTATGTAGCAATCCATCACTCCTCTGTGTTAACCTTCAATACAACAAGGCTTTGAATTTATATACAATACTTTACATAAAATATTACCATGTGTATTATGTGTACTGACATTGATACATTACTAACAGGCAAAGCGTCAACACAGGACTAAGATCGGATCCTACTACACCGGCTCTGACGCTCGTCCGATGTGGCAGGGCTTGCAAACTATCATGGATTACAAAGGGAAACCCAGCCGCAAGCTGCCCAGTGATGCGAGCCTACCAGACGAGCTAAATGCCTTCTATGCTTGCTTCGAGGCAAGCAACACTGAACCATGACTGAGAGCACCAGCTGTGTGATCACGCTCTCTGTAGCCGAGTAAACAAGTTAACATTCACAAGGCCACAGGGCAAGATGGATTACCAGGACGCCTACTCAGAACATGCGCTGACCAACTGGCAAGTGTCTTCACTGACATTTTCAACCTCTCCCTGACCCAAGCAGACCACCATAGTCACTGTGCCCAAAAACGCCAAGGTAACCTGTCTAAATGACTATCGCCCCATAGCACTCACATCGGTAGCTATGAAATGCTTTGAAAGTCTGGTCATGGATCACATCAACACCCTCATCCCAGACACCCTTGACCCACATACCGTCCCAACAGATCCACAGATGACACAATCTCTATTGCACTTACAGCTGTGGAAAAAATTAAGAGACCACTGCAAATTTTTCTTAAATCAGCATCTCTACATGTATGACAGCCATTCCATTCCAGTGTCTGTTGAATTCCAACACAGGCACACCGCATTCTACTGAATTAGGTACTGATTAGGTGATCACCTGAATCAAATCTTATTTAATGAGGAAAAGTATAAAAACCACTGCTGTGGTCATCACTATCCTCTTGCAATAGGACCAGCTGGATGGTAAAAACAGTGCTAATAGTACCTCAAAAGTAATATAAATCAAAAAATAACTATTGACCATGCCAAAAGAGTTGAAAAGGAAAGATTTGAGTGAGGAAAAGAAGGGTTCAATTCTGGCTTTACTGGCAGAGGGATACAGTGAGCGTCAGGTTGCTTCCATCCTTAGAATTTCGAAGACGGTGGTTCATAAGAACAAGGGCAAGCAGCAGACATTAGGGACAACAACGCTACAGACCGGCAGAGGGTGAAAACGACTCTACTGACCAGGATAACCGCCAACTCATTTGCATGTCACTCAACAACTGTAGGATGACATCAGGTGACCTACAAAAAGAATGGCAAACGACAGCTGGGGTGAAGTGCACGGCGAGGACGGTTCGAAACAGGCTCCTAGGGACAGGGCTGAAGTCGTGCAAAGCTAGAAAAAAGCCCTTCATCAATGAGAAGCAAAGAAGAGCCAGGCTGAGGTTTGCAAAAGACCATAAGGATTGGACCGTAGAGGACTGGAGTAAGGTCATCTTCTCTGATGAGTCCAATTTTCAGCTTTGCCCAACACCTGGTCATCTAATGGTTAGACGGAGACCTGGAGAGGCCTACAAGCCACAGCGTCTCGAACCCACTGTGAAATTTTGTGGAGGATCGGTGATGATCTCGGGGTGCTTCAGCAAGGCTGGAATCGGACATTGTTCCCCAACTCTGAGGATTGGTCTTTGCAGCAGGACAATGCCCCATGCCACACAGCCAGGTCAATCAAGGTGTGGATGGAGGACCACCAGATCAAGATCCTGTCATGGCCACCCCAATCTCCAGACCTGAACCCCATTGAAAACTTCTGGAATGTGATCAAGAGGAAGATGGATGGTCACAAGCCATCAAACAAAGCCGAGCTGATTGAATTTTTGCGCCAGGAGTGGCATAAAGTCACCCAACATCAATGTGAAAGACTGGTGGAGAGCATGCCAAGACGCATGAAAGCTGTGATTGAAAATCAGGGTTATTCCACCAAATATTGATTTCTGAACTCTTCCTAAGCTAAAACATTAGTATTGTGTTGTTTAAAAATTAACATGAACTTATTTTCTTTGCATTATTCGAGGTCTGACAACACTGCATCTTTTTTGTTATTTTGACCAGTTGTCATTTTCTGCAAATAAATGCTCTAAATGACAATATTGTATAATATAAAACCAGAGAAACTGATCATTTTGCAGTGGTCAAATTTTTTGCAGAGCACCTACATAAGAATGCTGCTCATTGACTAAAGCTCAGCATTCAACACCATAGTGCCCTCCAAGCTCATCACTAAGATAAGGACCCTGGGACTGAATACCTCTCTCTGCAACTGGATCCTGGACTTCCTGGCGGGCCGCCCCCAGGTGGTGAGGGTAGGAAACAACACATCTGCCACATTAATCCCCTCCTGTACTCCCTGTTCACCCACGACTCCTGTACTCCCTGTTCACCCACGACTGCGTGGTCGCGCACGACTCCAACACCATCATTAAGTTCGCCGACAACACGACAGTGGTAGGCCTGATCACCAACAACGATGAGACAACCTATAGGGAGGAGGTCAGAGACCTGGCAGTGTGGTGCCAGGACAGCAACGTCTCCCTCAACATCAGCAAGACAAAGGCGCTGATCGGGGACTACAGGAAACGGAGGGCCGAGCACGTCCCCATTCACATCGACATGGCTGTAGTGGAGCGGGTCGAGAGCTTCAAGTTCCTCGGTGTCCACATCACTAAGGATCTATCATGGTCCAAACACACCAACACAGTTGTGAAGAGGGCACGACAATGCCCTCAGATCCTCAAAAGCTTATACAGCTGCACCTTTGAGAGCATCTTGAGTGGCTGCATCACCGCTTGGTATGGCAACTGCTTGGCATCCGACCGCAAGGCGCTACAGAGGGTAGTGCGTACGGCCCAGTTTATCACTTGGGCCGAGCTCCCTGCCATCCAAGACCTCTATACCAGGCACAAAAATTTTTTTCAAAGACTCCAGCCACCCAAGTCATAGACTGATCTCTCTGCTACCGCACGGCAAGCGGTACGGATGCACCAAGGTGTTTACGAAGCATGTGATGAATACAGTTTGATTTGATTTGATTATTTAATAGATTGCCTTGTTGCTAAAGTTCTCAAGCCTTTCTCTGTATGTGTGTTTTTGCTGTTGTTTTACCTCAGCTTTGTGAAAGGATACCCTCCCAACTCCCCATACATTGGCAGCTCTCCAACCCTGTGCCATCTCCTACCTCAGAAAGCCTCATTCTGCTGCCTTCGCCTGGACAAGGTGAGTAGAGACATGGACGTGCTGAGGCCTATTGTGCAAAAACAAACTTGGTTTTATTCTCTTATGTGCTAATTATTAAGCCACATCATCCTATTCCAAAGACAGTAAACAATTATATTGTATTCTATTGTGTTGTGTTGTGTCTAAACAATTGAATTGTACATTGGATCCTCTTTGTTGACTGTATGAATAATAGAATAGGAAGTCTTTGTAGCTTTGATTAATAGAAGAGAGCAGAAAAACAATTGTATATTGTTAACACAATAGAATAGTTTATTGAATAGTTTATGTTTATGGAAACAAAAGTTGCCTTAATAAATAATAAAACTGACAGACGTGACAAACATTAACAACCTTTAAACATAATTCACATTTTAATTTTTTTACATTGTCATGTCCAGGGTTGCAGACACAACAGTTTTGAGGATGCCAAGGCCTATGGTTTTAAGAACAAGTTGATCATAGTATCTGCAGAGACGGCAGGGAACGGCCTCTATAACTTCATTGTCCCTCTACGGGCCTACTACCGCCCCAGAAAAGAGCTCAACCCTATTGTACTGCTACTAGACTACCCGTAAGAAATCACTTTGCTTCTTTATAAGGGTTTTAGGTAACATATCCTTTAAACCACCTATATATCATGTATTTATAGTGCTTTATAGGACACTCATAGGGCATTTTAAGACTGTAAGCATTGGTAATAGCTCATGGAATCTTAAAACAGCCTTTATAAATGCATAACATAGTATTCATGCTTATATATACTGTATGTTATTTTCATAATGCATTACATTCAGTTGGTAAAGTGTGTTATAAAACTACTTATAAACTGGGTGGGTCGAGCCCTGATTGGCTGAAAGCCGTGGTATATCAGACCGTATACCAAGGGTATGACAAAACATGTATTTTTACTGCTCTAATTACGTTGGTAACCAGTTTATAATATCAAAAAGGCTCCTCTGGGGTTTGTGATATATGGCCAATATACCACGGCTAAGGACTGTGTCCAGGCGTGTTTCCGTTTTGCTAAGAACAGCCCTTAGCCGTGGTTATTGGCCATATACCACACATCCAATGGCCTTATTGCTTAATTATAGCAGTAAAATACATTACACACAGATGGTAACTTTGAAAGAAAGTGTTACCAAGATGTATCGTTTGGCTACATGAAGATGAATGAGGTGTGACATGAAGGAATTGCCAGTGTTACCTCAGTAGAGAGAGAGAGAGGTTATTATACAGCAGAAGCAGCCTGGGGTTAACTCAACTGACGCAGGATGAGAAACGATTTCTGCATTATTCATTGCTGGCTGTGCCTCTGTTGGATTAATGGAGCACTGGGGAGCACTCTGGTGTGTGTGTGTGTGTGTGTGTGTGTGTGTGTGTGCGCGTGTGTGTGTGCGTAAGTGTATTATGTTTTTGCCAGTAATAATTTAGTATACCAGTTTAATTTAAGAAGGACCAAAGGATTGACAGCAGTCCCATATAGATTGCAAAATAGTTGGGAAGAGATTTTTGACGTACCGATTCCATGGCACATGGTTTATGAACTGATACGCAAAACGATGCCGGATTCAAAACGTATAATTTTTAAATGTAAATTATTATACAAAATTCTTCTAACCAATAGAATGTTATTTATATGGGGGATACAATCTTCAGATTTTGCTGCGAAGAGACAGAATCATTAGATAATTTGTTTTGGTACTCTCCATTTGTAGCTTGTTTTTGGTCACAGCTCCAGGAATGCTGAAGAATTGCAATATTTACCTGGAGCTAACCCTTCAGATAGCACTACTGGGTGATCTGAAAAGTCATAGTCAATCGATCAATAATATAATAATACTTTTAGCAAAAAAATTTATTTTCAATTTACTATCTGTAGAAACAATGAGAATAGAAAGGTTCAGAACTTTTGTGAAACATCACAGTACAGTTGAAAAATAATGGCAAATAGAAATCCAATATGGATGGTGTTAAGAGATAGATGGGAGGGGTTGAATGGAGTTGAAGGTTGGGACTAATAACAACTAATAACAACAAGATAACTAATGTAAAACATACTGTGTCCATAATACGTATATAGGTTATAGGTTGAAAACCTTTGTGAAAGAGCACAGTTTGAAAGATATGGCATATAGAAGCAAACCAGATGGACATCATGAAAATGATCGGAGAGGTTGAGGGTAGAGGAAGTTCAGGAGTAAAAACAAACAGAATAAACTATTGTAAAATTGACTGTGTCCATTAAATGTATATAGTATGTATAAGCTGGAAGTAGAGGCCTAAGCGTTGTTGTTCACTAGTTTACTCCAATTAGGGGAGGGGCGGTAGGGTTAGAAAGTAACAAAGGAAAATATATTTTAAAAAAGTATATGTGTGTGTGTATATATATATATATATATATATATATATATATATATATATATATATATATATATGTATGTGTATATGTATGTATTTATATGTGTATGTATGTTTGTATATGTATATATACACTACCAGTCAAAAGTTTGGACACACCTACTCATTCAAGGGTTTTTCTTTATTTTTACAATTTTTTACATTGTAGAATAATAGTGAAAAATCTAAACTATGAAATAACACATATGGAATCATGTAGTAACCAAAAAAGTGTTTGCCTTGATGACAGCTTTGCACACTCTTGGCATTCTCTCCATCAGATTCATGAGGTAGTCACCTGGAATACATTTCAATTAACAGGTGTGCCTAATTTAAAGTTAATTTATTTCCTTCTTAATGCGTTTGAGCCAATCAGTTGTGTTGTGACAAGGTAGGGGGGTATACAGAAGATAGCCCTATTTGGTAAAAGACCAAGTCCATATTATGGTAAGAACAGCTCTAAATAAGCAAAGAGAAACGACAGTCCATCATTACTTTAAGACATGAAGGTCAGTCAATACTGAACATTTCTTCAAGTGCAGTCGCAAAAACCATAAAGCGCTATGATGAAACTGGCTCTCATGAGGACCGCCACAGGAATAGAAGACCCAGAGTTACCTCTGCTGCAGAGGATAAGTTCATTAGAGTTACCAGCCTCAGAAATTGCAGCCCAAATAAATGCTTCACAGAGTTCAAATAACAGACACATCTCAACATCAACTGTTCAGAGGGGACTGTGTGAATCAGGCCTTCATGGTCGAATTGCTGCAAAGAAACCACTACTAAAGGACACCAATCAGTTTGGGCCAAGAAACACGAGCAATGGACATTAGACCGGTGGAAATGTGTCCTTTGGTCTGGAGTGAATACTTTCGCAAGCCACTGTAAGTGCCAAAATAAAGGCAACGCTTGAGTAAATGAGGGATACAACGTATATTGAAAGCAGGTGCTTCCACACAGGTGTGGTTCCAGAGTTAATTAAGCAATTAACATCCCATCATACTTAGGGTCATGTATAAAAATGCCCAGTTGCCCATTATTTTGGCTACCATGGCTAGAGGAAGATATCTCAATTACTTTGAAAGAGGGGTCTCAAAGGAGCATAGGGGGTTTAAAGGGTGTGTGTGTGTGTGTGTGTGTGTGTGTGTCAGTCATCAGATCTTAACCCAATTAAACACTTCTGGAGCGGCACCTGAGACAGTGTTTTCCACAACCATCAACAAAAATCTAAATGATGGAATTTCTCATGAAAGAAGGGTGTTGCATCCTTACAATAGAGTTCCAGACACTTGTAGAATCTATGCCAAGGTGCATTGAAGCTGTTCTGGCTTGTGGTAGCCCAACACCCTATTAAGACACTTTAAGTTGGTGATTCCTTTATTTTTGCAGTTACCTGTATTTAATCTGTGTGTGGTTGCAGTTGTCGTTGGCCCTATTGATGTGTTTTTCCTGTTTGCAGGCCTGACAACCACTTCCTAGAAGCCATCTGCTGTTTCCCAATGGTCTACTTCATGGCTGGAACCATAGATAAGTAGGTGTTCATTACTTAATCATTATAATGATAATGCCCCTCCTCACAGAATTACAATGACTTCTCTATTCTAATGACATCACAATGGCCTCATGCACAGACCGGAAACAATAAAGCATATATCATTCCATGACATACCATATCATTACATCCCAGGGATATACAATGAACGAGGGTCATCAATTACACATGTGCATCTTTTATAGGCTGCTAAATTTCAAAGTCATGAATATCATAATATGGTGTATTGTGTTTTGCTCTCTTTGTGGCAGCCTGGACAATCTGCTGCAGTGTGGCATCATCTATGCTGATAACCTGGTGGTGGTGGACAAGGAGAGCACCATGAGTGCTGAGGAGGACTATATGGCAGATGCCAAGACTATCGTCAACGTACAGACCATGTTCAGGTATGGTATGGGAGGCATGCTCCCATGTTAAATTATCGCCTACACACAGAGTTTTAGCTCTCCATTTTAAGTAACCTATTGAGTTTGGACTACTTGTAGTCTAGTAAAGCATTATTATGAACAACAATCTTATTATCCAAGAGGGACATTTGTTTAGCAAACAATGAAATACACAATTAATGCGTGGAAAGTGTTGGGTAGTTGCTTTTCCTTGAAAAGTCTCTAAAGTTAATAAAATCCTAGGTGAAACTATATTAAACAGCATCTTGGAAACTCAGCAAGTTTCTTCAGTCTAAAATGTAAAGCATCACTGAACATTTAATTCTGTCCCTCTTTTTTCTCTAGTATAGCTTATTATATGACACTATTTATTGTCTCTCTCTCTCTGTCTCCTTCTTCTCTCTCTCTCCTCATCTCTCGTCTCTCTCTCTCATCCTCTTCTCTCTCTCTCTCTCTCTCTTCTCTCTCTCTCTTCTATCTCTCTCTCTCTCTCTCTCTCTCTCTATCTCTCTCTCTCTCTCTCTCTCTCTCCTCTCTCTTCATTTCAATTTAAGGGCTTATTGGCTAGTGACCGTATGTTAACATTGCCAAAGCAAGTGAAGTAGATAGTAAACAAAAGTGTAATAAACAATAAATATTAACAGTAAACATTACACTCAGACGTTCCAAAAGATGTCATGTTATCTATATATACAGTGTTGTAACAATGTACAAATAGTTCAAGTACAAATGGGAAAATAAATAAACATAAATATGGGTTGTATTTACAATGGTGTTTGTTCTTCACTGGTTGCCCTTTTCTTGTGGCAACAGGTCACAAATCTTTCTGCTGTGATGGCACACTGGTATTTCACCCAGTAGATAAGGGAGTTTATCAAAATTGGTTTTGTTTTCTAATTCTTTGGGGATCTCTGTAATCTGAGGGAAATATGTGTCTCTAATATGGTTGTACATTTGGCAGGAGGTTAGGAAGTGCAGCTCAGTTTCTACCTCATTTTGTTGGCAGTGTGCACATAGCCTGTCTTCTCTTGAGAGCCAGGTCTGCCTACGGCGGCCTTTCTCAATAGCAAGGCTATGCTCACTGAGTCTGTACATAGTCAAAGCTTTCCTTAAATTTCGGTCAGTCACAGTGGTCAGGTATTCTGCCACTGTGTACTCTCAGTTTAGGGCCAAATAACATTCTAGTTTGCTCAGTTTTTTTGTAAATTCTTTCCAATGGGTCAAGTAATTCTCTTTTTGTTTTCTCATGATTTGGTTGGGTCTAATTGTGTTATTGTCCTGGGGCTCTGTGGGGTCTGTTTGTGAACAGAGCCCCAGGACCAGCTTACATTTACATTTTAGTCATTTAGCAAGACGCTCTAATCCAGAGCGATTTACAGTTAGTGAGTGCATACATTTTCATACTGGCCCCCCGTGGGAAATGAACCCACAACCCTGGCATTGCAAGCGCCATGCTCTACCAACTGAGCTACAGGGGACTCTTCTCCAAGTTCATCTATCTGTAGGTGATGTCTTTGTTATGGAAGGTTTAGGAATCACTTCCTTTTAAGTCTCTATTTCTCTCCTCTCTCCCTCCCTACCACTCTCTCTCCCTCTCTCCCTCCCTCCTCCCTCTCTCTCTCCCTCTCTCCTCCACCTCTCTCTCGCCCTCCCTCCTCCCCTTCTCTCTCTCTCTTTCTCTCTCTCCTTTCTCTCCTCGTCTCCTGTTCCCAGCTTCCCAGCTCAGTATCATCACCGAGCTGACCCACCCCTCCAACATGAGGTTTATGCAGTTCAGGGCTAAGGACTGTTACTCCCTGGCTCTCTCCAAACTAGAGAAGGTGAGCAGAGCAGTTCAGCGATGGGGGCATGTCACTCCTCCCTCTTTAGATCTCAGGCTTAAGATATAGAGCCCTGGGGCTGGGTTAACAAGCCAGCTGGCTGACTATGTACCTTATTCTCTCTTTCTCTCTCCTACCCTTCCTCCCCACCTCTCCTCGCCTCCCTCCTCCTCCCTCTCTGCCATTATACTCAATCATCACCAGCTGACCCCCCTCCAACATAGTTTATGCAGTCAGGGCTAAGGACTGTTACTCCCTGGCTCCTCCGCGCTGGTGACATTTCATGTGTACTCTCTATCTTTCTTTCTCTCTCCTACCTCTTACCCATCTCCCCTCTCCCCTCTCCCCTCACCCTTCTCCTCCCCCCCCTCCCCTCTCTCTCTCTGCTCCCTCCCCCTACCCTCTCTCCCTCCCCTCCTCTTCCCTCTCCCCCCTACAGATAGAGCGTGATAAGGGTTCCAACCTGGCCTTTATGTTCCGCCTGCCGTTCGCTGCAGGCAGAGTGTTCAGTATCAGTATGCTGGATACGTTGCTCTACCAGGTGGGTTACCAGATGTCATGTATTAGGGGTAGAGTCCCAAATAGTACCTTATTCCCTATATAGTGCACTTCTTTTGACCAGGGTCCCATTTGGGACGTAGCTAGGGAGCTTATCTGCAGTGTATCACCTTATCTCAGCCAGCAGAGTGTGCATGGACTGTTTGATCACTTAGTCACTCCCTTAGGCTATGATCAGCTTACCTTCTCTAAATCCTAGCCCTTAACTATTAAGTGGAGAACTGCAAAACTGATCTTAGATCAGTGTCTTGAGGGAATCCTCTGTTCACGGTGGTACTCCAGTACTTACTGAGAAAATTATCTGAAATTGCACTGTCTTTGAAGGGAAGTCATGGACAGGGCAGAGAGAGAAAGAGAGAGAAATAACAAAAGTATTTTTGAGAGCTATGATCATTCAGTAGTTTCTCACCCCTCCTCGATAGTGTTTTCTCTGGAACTAGACATTAGTATATTTTCAGTCTCTGGTTCTTTCTGTTTGTTTATACATTCTCTTGCTTTTTTACAGTCATTTGTAAAGGACTATATGATTCCCATAGCAAGACTTTTACTAGGCCTGGATACCACACCAGGGTCTGGTTACCTATGTGCGGTAAGTATGGCTACCTGTGTCTTGGAAATCCTTACACAGGGACACTCGAAGTCAATCTTAAATGAATCATGCTTTATATTCAGCATGCTGGAGAGGTTCCAACCAACTCAATGCACCATGTACACATGTCGATCAAGAGCTCTAACGGGGCAGTCCCGTTAGTTCTCTTATATACTTACACAGAAAGTAATATTTGCCAATCTGTGATAATCATCAATACATTTTAATGTAGGTGTTTACATTTTAGCTTCTATATCAAAATACATCATTATAATAAATCATAATAAAGGTTATACTTCTATTCTGTTTTGTGTGTGTGTGTGTGTGTGTGTGGTTGTGTGTGTGTGTGTGTGCGTGTGTCAAATCAAGTTCATTTGTCACATGCACAGGTGTAAACCATACAACGAAATGCTTACTTACAAGCTCTTCCTCAACAATGCAGAGTTCAATATCAAATGTACGAAATAGAATCAAGAATAGGATCTTTAAAAAAAGCAACACCAGGTCAGATAAAAATAAAAACACACGAGAGATAAAACACACAAGAATGTAAGCTCTATACAAGGTCAGTTCAGTACCATATCAATGTGCAGGGATATGGTAGAGGTTGAGGTAACATGTACATCTAGGCAGTGGGGGAAAAAATGACTAGGCAGCAGGATAAATAATAATAAATAGTAGCAGCATTGTATATGGTGAAGTGTGTGTGTATGTATGATAGTGTGTGTATGTGTGAGTGTGTGAGGCGTCGGTATGTGTGTGGTGTGAGTGCGTTGTGCGTGTGTGTGTGTGTGAGCGTGTGTATGTGAGTGAGTGTGTGCGAGAGTGACAGTGTAAGTGTGATTGAGTTTGTGGAAGAGATCAATGAAAAAAAGGTGCTATCTAGAACCCAAAAGGGTTCTTCGGCTGTCCCCATAGGAGAACCATTTGAAGAACCCTTTTGGGTCCAGATATAACAATTTTTGGTTCCAGGTAGAACCCTTTGAGTTCCACATAGAACCCTTTACACAGAGGGTTCTGCATGGAACCTAAAATAGTTCTACCTGGAACCTAAAAGGGTTCTACCTGGAACCAAAAATAGTTATCCTATGGGGACAACGGAAGAACCCTTTTGGAACCCTTTTTTCTAAGAGTGTGGATGGAGTCAGTGCAGATAGTCCGTTGGTGGGTAGCCATTGATTAGCTATTCAACAGTCTTATTGCTTGGAGATAGAAGCTTTCTCAGAGCCTGTCCAAGACCTGATGCTCCGGTACCGTTTGTCGGACGGTAGCAGAGAATGAACAGTCCATGGCTGGGTTGGCTAAAGTTCACTTTTCGGGCCAGTGATGTACTGCACCGTCCGCACCACCCTCTGCAGAGCCTTGCAGTCGATGGCGGGGGAGTTGCCATACCAGGCAGTGATATAGCCAGTCAAGATGCTCTCGATGGTGCAGCTGTAGAACTTCTTGAGGATCTGAGAGCCCATACCGAATCACTTCAGCCTCCTGAGGGAGAAGAGTTGCTGTTGCGCCCTCTTCACGACAATGCCGGTGTGTGTGGACCATGTTAAGTCCTCTATGATGTGGACACCGAAGAACTTAAAACTCTTGACCCTCTCCACCGCAGTCCCGTCGATGTGGATGGGGACGTGCTTCCACTGTTTCCTGTAGTCCACGATCAGCTCCTTGTTCTTGCTGACTTTGAGGGAGAGATTGTTGTCCCGGGTGATCAGGCTTACCACCGTTGTGTCGTCAGCAAACTTGGTGATGGTGTTGGAGTCGTGCAAGGCCACGCAGTCATGGGTGAACAGGGAGTACAGATGGGGGCTAAGCACACAACCCTGGGGGGGCCATGTTTTGAGGGTCAGTGTGGCAGAGGGGTTGCCTACCCTTACCACCTGGGGTCGGCCTGTCAGGAAGTCCAGGATGCAGTTGCAGAGGGAGGTGTTCAGACCCAGTGTCCCAAGCTTGGTGACAAGCTTTGAGGGAACTATGGTATTGAGCTGTAGTCGATGAACACCATTCTCTCATAGGTGTTCCTATTTTCCAGGTGGGAGAGAGCAGTGCAATTGAGATTGCGTCTTCTGTGGATCTGTTGGGGTGATACTCAAATTGGAGTGGATCTAGGGTGTCTGGGTAGATGGAGTTGATGGGTGCTATAACCAGCCTTTCAAAGTACTTCATGATTACCTGATGTGAGCGCTACAGGGCGATAGTCATTATGAACCTTAAGAGTTCTTGGGGACAGGAACAATGGTGGTCAGCTTGAAACATGTTGGAATTACAGACTGGGACAAGGTCAAGTAAAGGTTGAAAATGTCGGTGAAGATGCTTGCCAGCTGATCTGTGCATGCTCTGAGGATGTGCCGTGGTATTCCGTCAGGTCCCGCAGCCTTACGAGTTTTAAGCCGTTTATAAGTCTTACTCATGTCAGCCACAGAGAGCAAGATCACACAGTCATCTGGAACAGCGGGAGCCCTCATGCATGGCTTGATGTTGTTGACCTCGAAGCGAGCATAGAAGGCATTGAGTTCATCTGTGAGGGAGGCGTAATTGGGTAACACACAACTGGGTCTTCCTTTTTGTGTGTGTGTGTGTGTGTATGTGTGCGGGTGTGCATGCGTCGTATATGCATGTGATGTGTAAACTAAATGTGCTCCCTCCTTCTCCCCAGATGAAGGTGACAGAGGAGGACCTGTGGATCAGGACGTATGGCAGGTTATTCCAAAAGCTGTGTTCTTCCAGTGCAGAGATTCCTATAGGCATCTACCGTACAGAGTCACACATGTTCTCCTCCTCTGAGGTAAGACAGGATAGAGACAGCCCCTGTTCAAATACTCTAGAGATGCATCATTCCTTTCTTCTTTCCTTCCTTCCTTTCTTTGTTCTTTCCCTATTTATTTTTTGTCTTAATTTCTTCCTTGTTGAGGTAAGTGAGAGCAATAGGGATAGTAACCTTGCTTTCGCTTGTCAAATCACAGAATTATCAGTGATTAGCTCAAGGAAGGATGGAAAGAAAGAAGGATCCATTCTAAAACTAATAATTTGAACAAAGCCACCTCTGAGTAATCCATAGATTACAGAGTGTACAAAACATTAGGAACACCTATTGAGTTGCACCTCCTTTTGCCTTCAGAACAGCCTCAATTTGTCGGGGCATGGACTCTACAAGGTGTCGAAAGCGTTCCACAGGGATGCTGGCCCATGTTGACTCCAAGTTAGCTGGTAGTGGATCTCTACTCCAAATAGGTTGTTCCATCTTATCCCACAGATGCTCATATGGATTGAGATCTGGTGACTGGGCAGGCCCCTGTAGTAAGCTGAATTCACTGTCATGTTCATGGAACCATTCCTGGACAATTCTAGTCTTGGGGCATTATCCTGCTGAAAAAATCAATTTGCCAATGGATATACTGTTGCCATGAAGGGATGCACCTTAATGGCAATGATGTTCAGATATCCTGTGGTATTCAAACGTTGCTCCACTTTTATCAAGAGGATGATTTAGTGCCATGAAAACACTCCCCACACCATCACCACCACCACCAGCCTGCAATGTTGACACGCGGCATGATGGCTGCATGTACTCATGTGGTTTTCTCCATACCCTAGTCCTCCCATCAGCGTGAAACAGCAGGAACCGGGATTCATCAGACCAGGCAATGTTTTTCCAATTCTCCATTGTCCAGTGTTTTCGTTCCTTAGCCCACTGCAACCGCAGTTTCTTGTTTTCTGCTGAAAGAAGTGGAACTCTGTAAGGTTGTCGGCTGCCATAACCCATTCGTGTCAAGGTATGATGAGTTGTGCATTATTTTATGGGTCTTTGGACACCAATGTTGTACTGGACTCTCAGTTGACTAACTGTAGCCCGTCTGTTGCTCTGCACAATTCGTGTCAGCCTCCTTTGTCCTCTTTCATCAATTACCCATTTTCGACCAATGGCCTGCCGTTGGCTGGATGTCTTTTGGGTGGTGGGCCATTCTTGATACACACGGGAAACTGTTAAGCGTGAAAAAACCCAGCAGCATTGCCGTTCTTGACACACTCAAACCGGTGTGCCTGGTACCTACTACCATACCCTGTTCAAAGGCTCTTAAATATTTTGTGTTGCCCGTTCTCCTTCTGAGTGGCACACATACACAATCCATGTCTCAATCGTCTCAAGGCTTAAAAATCCTTCTTTAACCTGTCTCCTCCCTTTCATCTACACTGATTGAAGTGGATTTAACAAGTGACATCAATAAAGGATCATAGCTTTCACCTGGATTCACCTGGTCAGTCTATCTCATGGACAGTACACTCAGTGTATTTGTGCTATAATTGTGCTGCTAATCATTGTAATTATGCATTATATGCATCATTGAACTATTGGGTGCAACCATTCACAAACAAACATTCTTAGTCAAGTAAATGATATTTACTTTTGCCAATGCTACTCTGTGCAAGTGTTTGATTTTCATCCATCATTGTGTGCTTTTGTTTGTTGGTCTGTCCAAGTATCCTCCTTCCTAGTTAAAGGATAGTTACCCACAGTTAAGATGACATCCTTGTCTTGACATTTTACATAACTGTCTTTATCTGCTCAAATGTGCAGTACAACAAAAATGATAGTATACGTTAAGTTTCGTTTGGCGCTTCAGTAATGCTGTCAGTCAAGCGCTTATTCATAATGCATTATAAATGCGTATCTAGAGCTTCAATTACTGATGTAAAGTGTCACCAAAACGTCCTATTGGATCCTCATACTGTACTCATAGTTGATTTGGTATTAACCCTTCACCCTCCCCCTAGTCTCAAGTATCCATCAACGTAGAGGACACTGGTGGTGACGACCAGAGAGACAACCGCCGCGAGAAGACAGCTCACCGGAACTCCACCACCAGCGACCAATCAGAACATCCGTTGCTGAGGAAGAAGAGCCTCCAGTGGGCGCGGCGTCTGAGCCGTAAGAACACCAAGCCACCGAGTCGCACCGAGCGGATCTCCCAGCAGCGCCTCAACCTGTACCGGCGCTCCGAGAGACAGGAGCTGTCTGAGCTGGTCAAGAACCGCATGAAGCACCTAGGCCTGCCCACTGTCGGATACGGTGAGCGGAAATTTACAGGACACCCTGGTAATACTGAGGGACATTATAGGGTGCTGTGTCATATTTAGTTTGGTGGTCTTATATGTGTCACCTGTAGGGTTGCAAAATTCCGGGAACTTTCAATAAATTCCCTGATTTTCACGATTTCTGGAAAACCAGGGAATTTATTAAAAGTTCCAGGAATTTTGCAACCCTAGTCAACTGTCATAGTTTGGGTATTGGTGCTGTATGGAATGACAATGATGGGGGATTAGTTGGAGAATTTAGGACGGACATTATTGTTGGAGATGTTTGGGATATATTTTGCTGTATGTTAAATCTAATTGTGTGTCAATTACGAATTACTTATCTCAGCAGATGAAAATACTATCATAGTAATATTATTGAGTTGTTTAAAGATGTATTACATAGCTTCTGACTGTTGTTTTCACCATGCAATCTTGTCATCCATTCACCCCACTTAATTGAACACCATTTCAAAGGGGTGTACAAGAAGTACCATGACATCAATAACCATATAAACATCTCACAACGCCTAACATAAACATTGAGGAGTATTCCATGGTCATTCTCCATTATTCACATTATTCTACATAGTATGATAATGAACCTGCATAACCTCTTATGAATGTGCGCAACCTCTTTATGAATATGCATAACCTTCATGTTACTTGTAGCCTATGCATGGAAGGATGACTGAAGCATAATGAAGCATTTTATCTCAGGCTGCATTTTGCCTGCATCCCCTCCCCTCTCACTTCTTTTCACTATTTTCCTCGCTCCTCAGCTTCCTTCGCCTTCTTTTGCAAAATAAAAAAAAGAATTTCCCTATATAATTCTCCATACAATTCCTCATGTCAAAACATTATGATGACTCATTCATATAATCCCTGTTCGAGGGAAAATGCTTATTACGTAATACTGCCAGAAATGTTAAATCGGATGATTGAGCCAGAAATACTGTAGATATTTACATTATAAATGATCTAATATGTATTACATTATTCTAAAAACGTAATAGCTTTTAGCCTGGGAACATATTTCTTTGCCTATTAGGTCATTTTTACATCCCCTTTTGAAAACTGCATTTTTGCTGCTTGCCTGATCTTTTCTTTCTCTTGTCTTCTTTTCGTTTCTTTCTTTCCCCTCTGGCTTGTAGAGGATGTTGCTAATCTTACTGCGAGCGATGTCATGAACCGAGTAAATCTAGGATATTTACAAGGTAATCCCACATACAGTAGTGTTCACATACAGTATGCAATGCAACATATTTTGTCATCACTCCCATCTCTTAAATGTGTCAAGTGGTGTGAAATTTGAATTTCATTCTATATGTTCAAGTGTAGTGCTACTTTCCTGCAAACTATGCTCATTGCTCAGAGAAGAATGTTGTTAGGGAAATTATATATGCTTCTAATATTCTACTTTGTAAGGCATCTCAAGTGGTGCATATACCACCATCCTTTTAAAAGGGGAGATGGGTTGAAGAAGGTACCATATTCATTAAAATACAGTGGGGAGAACAAGTATTTGATACACTGCCGATTTTGCAGGTTTTCCTACTTACAAAGCATGTAGAGGTCTGTAAAAATCCAGAAAATCACATTGTATGATTTTTAAGTAATTAATTTACATTTTATTGCATGACATAAGTATTTGATCACCTACCAACCAGTAAGAATTCTGGCTCTCACAGACCTATTAGTTTTTCTTTGAGAAGCCCTCCTGTTCTCCACTCATTACCTGTATTAACTGCACCTGTTTGAACTCGTTACCTGTATAAAAGACAACTGTCCACACACTCAATCAAACAGACTCCAACCTCTCCACAATTGCCAAGACCAGAGAGCTGTGTAAGGACATCAGGGATAAAATTGTAGACCTGCACAAGGCTGGAAAGGGCTACAGGACAATAGGCAAGCAGCTTGGTGAGAAGGCAACAACTGTTGGCGCAATTATTAGAAAATGGAAGAAATTCAAGATGACGGTCAATCATTACATTTACATTACATTTTAGTCATTTAGCAGACGCTCTTATCCAGAGCGACTTACAGTTAGATCACCCTCGGTCTGGGGCTCCATGCAAGATCTCACCTCGTGGGGCATCAATGATCATGAGGAAGGTGAGGGATCAGCCCAGAACTACACGGCAGGACCTGGTCAATGACCTGAAGAGAGCTGGGACCACAGTCTCAAAGAAAACCATTAGTAACATACTACGCCGTCATGGATTAAAATCCTGCAGCGCACGCAAGGTCCCCCTGCTCAAGCCAGTGCATGTCCAGGCCCGTCTGAAGTTTGCCAATGACCATCTGGATGATCCAGAGGAGGAATGGGAGAAGGTCATGTGGTCTGATGAGATAAAAATAGAGCTTTTTGGTCTAAACTCCACTCGCCGTGTTTGGAGGAAGATGAAGGATGAGTACAACCCCAAGAACACCATCCCAACCGTGAAGCATGGAGGTGGAAACATCATTATTTGGGGATGCTTTTCTGCAAAGGGGACAGGATGACTGCACGGTATTGAGGGGAGGATGGATGGGGTCATGTATCGTGAGATCTTGGCCAACAACCTCCTTCCCTCAGTAAGAGCATTGAAGATGGGTTGTGGCTGGGTCTTCCAGCGTGACATGACCCGAAAAACACAGCCAGGGCAACTAAGGAGTGGCTCCGTAAGAAGCATCTCAAGGTCCTGGAGTGGCCTAGCCAGTCTCCAGACCTGAACCCAATAGAAAATCTTTGGAGGGAGCTGAAAGTCCGTATTGCCCAGTGACAGCCCCGAAACCTGAAGGATCTGGAGAAGGTCTGTATGGAGGAGTGGGCCAAAATCCCTGCTGCAGTGTGTGCAAACCTGGTCAAGACCTACAGGAAACGTATGATCTCTGTAATTGCAAACAAAGGTTTCTGTACCAAATATTAAGTTCTGCTTTTCTGATGTATCAAATACTTATATCATGCAATAAAATGCAAATTAATTACTTAAAAATCATACAATCTGATTTTCTGGATTTTTGTTTTAGATTCCATCTCTCACTGTTGAAGTGTACCTATGATAAAAATTACAGACCTCTACATGCTTTGTAAGTAGGAAAACCTGCAAAATCGGCAGTGTATCAAATACTTGTTCTCCCCACTGTACATAGTGGATGGATCGATGTCATGCTAGTAGTTTAGTACCTAGTTTTGAATAGCTAGGCTACTGTATATTAGTATAGACAGTCAGAATGTTGTGTTATTGAATGAAAGTATGACAGTAGCCTGTGAGTTAACAGTGTTGACTGTCTTAGAGTTGCAGGGAATTTCAGAGCATCTGTTAAGAGAGGAGACCAGAACAGGTTAGATGGAGAATCATAATCATAGAGCACTACTGCATGACTCTGTGTGATAATGATGATGGCAGTGGTGGGTGGCAGACAATCAGTCTTTCTTTCTCTCTGTCCTCTGCATTGTGTGGACTGAAGTGGGAGACATAGACCTAGTTCAAATTGTACAACTGATGTACACAACGGTTGTTTCAAATGCGTTGTATATCAGTTGTACAACCTGTGTGAACTAGGTCTTATTGACTGATGATGGAAGGGGAGAGACGGCCAGACAGACTACCAAGTTACTGCAGGGCAGGAGAGTGTGGATACACTACAGGGTGGTGGGATGGAAAAGAGTGGAGCAGAAAGCATTATGACTGTGTTGTTCGGAAGGTCAACAGTTCATTGCTATCAACAAACCAAAGCTACACTGGGAATGTTGTAGAATATAACAGTGGTTGCTAACAAAAATACCCATATAGCCTTTTATTAACCTAAATACAATATGGTTTCTAAATATTCATCACATTATAGTCCCTCTGAAAGACTATCCAAGATTGACGCTATATTTTGACCCCTTCTAATCCCACACTCCAAATGTATTTTGCTTCACTCTTATATTGGTTGAGCCTCACTTTGTTTGGTTGAGCCTGCCCTGCCGGATGCCAGAGCATGTTCTAGTTGTGTTTGTGGGTGTGTCAACATTTTTAAATGGGGGCTGAGTGTCATTGGCATGGCAACCATGGTGACGTGTCGCCGTGAGTGACCAGGCCGACGTGTGGAATGCGCAGAAGGTGAATCGATGCGGACAGTGTCTGCATGTCTTTCTTATACCGCGCATGGAGGGATGCGCTTGCCTTGTGGCAGCATGGGCCTACCCTGTACCAGCCATGCCCTGTCAGTAACGGTTAGACCTTCTCTCTCTCCTACCCACCCCGCCTGGCATTATAAGGGGCAAACACAGGTGGGTTTGGAGAAGCAGATGCACCTTACCCCCCAACCCCCAAGTTTGAGCCTCATTCTGTCCCAGGTACACAGTTTCTCACTCTTACATGCGAACAGGAAAAACACACACAGCACTTCTCACTCACAGACACTCACTCTGGATAGACGTTGCCCCCCTAGGCAAAGGTCTAAGATCAGGGGGAAACTGACCTTAGATCAGTGTCCCAGAGCAACTTGATCCTACTCCAAGACAAGCACAGGACATCAAAGGATGCCATGTCAAGGCATATTCAGTTACACACCATTGATTATACTGTATTTGAATAGACATGAAGAAAATGAACACAGGACTTATATCAAACAGGACCTATAGGCTTACTATATATAAGTAAGCCTTGTCCAGCCAGAACGGCCCTTAAAACAGCCCTTACTGTATATGCATATGATTTATTATGTCAGTCAGCCCTTTACTGAAGATCAGGGAATCCTATACTTCAATTTTCTAAGCGGACCATTAGTTGTCTAATGTTGTGTGTAATTGGTGAATGTGAGGGGACTGGTACAGCCAGAGCAGCTGTTAAGACCTGTCTCTGCCTCTGTTCTGTTCCAGATGAGATGAACGACCACCAGAACACTCTGTCCTACGTTCTCATCAACCCCCCTCCAGACACCATGCTGGAGCTCAATGACATTGTGTAAGTACCAGCAAGAGAGGTGTCTCTTCTCTTTTCAGCCTTTCCTCTTTACACTATCGGTACTATACTGTACCAAGCTGTGTCGACTGTACACTAGCCTAGGTATGGGACAGTACAGTTCTCTAGTAATGTGTTCTATAAATATCTGGATGTGACCCAAGAGAGTTGGTTTTGCCCTCATCTTGATGGAGATTTTTTAGTGGACTATGAGATAAAACTGGGTTAATCACGAACATAGAGTTAGAGTTCTTTGTTATTGGGCCAGGAACTTAATTGGATCATTTCACTGTGTGTGTGGGGGTTTGTGTATGTTTCAAGGATTTAGGGACCTGTCATGTCCAACAATCGGTCTTCAGGTCAAGCCCAGGAGAGCCAGGGTTGAACAGAGTTTAAACTAAACATGAGTGTTTTTGCAAGACAGGGGAGTGATTGATTGTAGTACTATGTGATTCTGAACTGAATGAAAGTCGAATTTAGCCGCCACCATAGACAAAGGGAGTGGGTGGAGCAATAAAAGAGCGGGAAACTGAAGAAGGAGGGATTTTAAAGCTAGGGTGTGTGGAGGGCACTATATAAGATGGAGAGAGAGAGGAAGAGGAGGTGCCACTCTGCAGACCGGCATCGGCTTTGTTGAAACTCTAATAAAGTAATATCTTGATGCAACAGAAACTCTGTAAGAACTTTGATTTTCCACAACAATCTCTCTCTAGGTACATCATCCGGTCCGACCCGCTGGCGGGGCCCGACGTGCCCGAGGACGCGGCCCAGGGTCAGAGCAGCGGCGGCGGCCGAATGAGGCAGGACTTTGGCACAGAGACCAGGGATGAGACCCACCTCTGAAATCCCCTCGCCCCCCTGGCACCCTCGCCTCACCACCCCTCGACCTCTCGCCCCCTTGTCTCACCGACCTTGCACGATACATTCTATGATGTGCCATACAAGGGGAAGACCCCCAGATCCCCACATTGCCCACCCTTACCTTCCAATCCCACTCCACCCTGTGTCAGACTTACAGAGAGACACGTGTCACTGAGCTGCTATGGGAGGATGCATGAAGAGTGCCTCGTCATTACCTAACCTAACCCCTTAGAGAGCATCAGACACACAGACTCAGACATGGCCCTCTGCAAAAGATAAAACATGAACAATGCACCAGTCGATGGAAACATACTGGTAACCAACCAAAGGAGAGGAGAGAGAGATGATGTCAGAGGTCATGTGATCCTCTGACTATTTAGAGGTTTGTTTGATTTAGCTCGTCAGCACACTAGGTGGGTGGAGCTTACTTGCACTTTAGCACCAATAGAAAGGTGCCAAAAGGGCAAACTCTGCCCAAATGACACGCCTGCGAGCTATACCAAACATACTTGGCGTGTGTGTGTGTGTAGACTGTGAATATCAGTTGCAAAATCAAGTCATGTACAGTTTTGTACAGAAATGGTTATTGCTTAACAAGAATTCCTGGCAGTATTCATACACATCAATCATGAAAGTACATGAGCACTTATTATTTTCCCTATGAGCACAACCCACTGGGCCCAGACGTCAATTCAACATTTATTCCACGTTGATTCAACGTCATTTCGTTGAAACGACGTGATCACAGCGTTGATTCAACCAGTGTGTGGCCAGTGGGAAGACTTTTATAAGCAATTTTTTTTTTTTTTACTGCTCCTTCTGTATTTAAACAAACATGTTGAATATCATGCTATTTGTTATTAAAAAGTATAGAATAGTTAATGGATTGATGAACCTTCATAAATTCCACCATGCCCCTACATCATTATATTTGTGCCGTACAGTTTGTTTTTCTTCTTTATGTATCAGTCAATGTTCTACGAAAGCCAATGCTCAATCATTCCACATTTCTGACAGGATTTATTAATTACAGTACATTACAGTAGAACGATCCTTCACAGCTGTTTACAGTGGCAACCCGTATGTTATGAACACTTGTTATGAGTACTTATTTTGCACAATAAGAGACAGGCATAGTTAAAGTGATAGTTCACTCCAAAATGAACATTTGTTATGTTTTCAGATGTCAAAAGTGATCTGATGTTAAGATGAGTTGGAGTGAACTATTACTTGAAGTCTGTTGATATGGCCAGTACCTGGGCTTGGAGTGCAGTGTTGCAAGCTGGCTTCCAATATGTCCTTTCACTTGTACAGTAAATGTAGTATTGTGTGTGCTTTATATATTTTAATCATTATTTAAGAGATTTATCTGTTTTGTATTTTATTTCTGATACTGTTTGCTTGGACTAATATGTGTGGTTATATCATTGTAAATACTCGAACACTTTTTATCCTCATTGTTTGGTTCAATGTTCTTTTGGTTGTTATTAGAGAAATGAAAACAAATAGGACTTGAAATACTTTTGCACTAAGCTCTGTGGTCGTTAATGGAGCGTTATAGCATGACCCTTTAACCCGGAACTTTAACTATACAATAAATCAGACTTTAGTATTCCTTGTGTTTTGGGATGTAATGTACTGCAAAGTGTCCCCATTCCCATTGAAGTACTGTATGTATGTGTAGATCGAATATGTTCCATGCTAGACAGGCCCCCAGAAGGGCAGTTTACAGATCTGGAGGGCTAAAGAAGAGAGAAGTTGATCACCATTGACATCTTCCAGTGACATCACTTCCTGTGTCTTACCCCCATCATTGTTGTATGTGAACGGAACCCCAAGGGAATTCTCTTATTGGAGAAGTACAGTAAAAAAAATACAAAATAAAAACATCTATTGAAATTCATACTGTAATATAAAAAGGGGCATGCAAAAACAAAAAGCATGTTTTGAGATAAAGCTTGCCAAACCAGATATGTTTTCCTTACAGTTAGATAGGTGACCTGTGTGAAGTATCACAAATAGAAAATGTTACTGATTATATCATTTGATATCTTTATATGGGACCATGCATGTCCTCCAGACAATAAAATCCTCTGTTTACCTCCCTTGTTTTATGTTTTTAGTTAATTGTCAAAAAGGTTTGATCCATTTTGTACTATTTCTTATTATGAAGTCTGTGTACTTCTCTACCATGATGTAAAATATGAAACAATAAATGCTGCATGCAGCCGGAAACACTGAAATGGAAAAACACTCCTGTCGTTTGTTTAATTACAGAGAGAAATGATCACTCAGAAACACTAAAATAAATAGCATTGCTTTTATATATTACAAAACAGTGGGAATAATCAAACACTTCTAATGGTGGGGTTGCTCACCCTTTGTCACCACAGGAAAGGGGAAAAACACATTAGCTAATAATGATAATACATTTTATATGTATAGCACTTTTCAAAACACTACACAACACACTACAGACTATTTCATACACCAATAGATAGGACAAGTAAAAACATAAGACAACACCAGATCATATAAAAAGACTACATTGAACTATAAAATCATTATAAAAGCCACAGTCTGTAGTTTAATGTCCCTGTCCCTGGTGCTTGCTTCTCTTGCTTGCTGCTTTGTTGAGGTGAGTCTGTTTCCACCTCTCTCTGGTCCATCGGCCCTGGTTCTGAACCACCTCGTGCAGCAGGTCAATATAGGTGTATTCATTATCCAGTAGCAGGTTGTCATCACTGGGGGAGACACCACTAGGGGGAGCTCCACTACACTCTGTACTCTCTCTGCTCCTGCCCGCTCTCTGTGCTCTCTTTGGTGCCCCCTTTCTGTTTGATTTACCTTCACTCTCTATAGCCCTGTTTATAACGTGTGCAGGTTTGTTATCCAATTCTTCAGGATTTTCTTGACCATGTTTGGTCTCAGTCTGGGTCAGGACATTACGAGACAGGGACAGGGTAGTGTCGACCAGGTCTGACAGGGTCTCACTTGCCTCAATGAGAGGTTCTGGTTCAGCATCATCCAGTGAGACTGGATCATACTCTGGAGAGGATGTCACAAAGTCTGGTGGCGTGCTGCAGTTCTCCTCAGCATTGTCCTCACCCATGTCCCCTTCTGGGGGTGAAGACTCCAGAGCAATGGTTGAAGGGGAAGATTCCAGAACACTGACAGAAACATCAGCTGAAAGATTATCTGTGTCATCTTTAAACTCTTGCTCAGGGTCAGGTGCTTGGTTCTCTGTTTCACCAGGGTTGGGTGATTGGATCTGTTCGACCTCTTGGTCAGGTGATTGGTTCTCTGTTTCACCAGGGTCAGGTGATTGGTTCTCTGTTTCTCCTTCGACCTCTTGGCCAGGGTCATGCTCAGGGAAGACACAGAGCCCCTCTCTCTGTATGGCAAAGTGGATCTGCCACTGAGCTGAGGTGGGGGGCCACGTGGAAATCCTTGTCATGACTTTCTGTGGACTTAGACCTTTGTGGCATTCAGGTTTTGGTTTGGCCGGGTCAGCACCGATGGTCAGGTACGGTATGGTCTCCGAATCCTGGGATACACAGATTATGTTTTGGCCGCCATCTTGCAGATTCACAGTTCCATCAGCATCTCTCTCATCTCTGTCATTTTCCTGACTCACTTCACTGGTAAGATCATCTTTTCCTGTCAGGTTTCTATCTACCCCCTGGGACTCATTACCTCCTGGCTCTTTGCTGTTCTCTTCCTCTGAGTTCCTCATATCTTCTAACGGGCTCTCTCTCGCACTCCCCATCCTGTGTAGTTCTCTCTCAGTCTCCAGCACCACCCTGTGTAGTTCTCTCTCTGCTCTACAGAACTGGGATGTGGAGAGGACCGCATCAGCAGACTTGGCTCTGACTCCAGATCTGTAAGTCCTCGTAGCAAGCTCTGGATCCCATTTAGACATTGCAGAATCCACCTGTTTGTGGAGGGTGGTGGTTGAACTGTCTGGCTGCTTTGCGGCCTCCTCCTCTTTTGTCTCCAGACTGGGCTTCACCTGTTTGGTCTCACGTTTCCTCCTCCAGACTACAGCCAGGGCACAGACCACACAGATCAGGATACACAGCACCACTGGAAGACAAGACAAGCTAGAGTTAGTGAGGATTATGTTCACACTTTATTCTGTTGTGTTATATGCAGAATGGACCACGATACATTCTTTGCCTGATAGCGTAATAGTGTACATTATTCGTTATGAGATTGACTAAAACCACAGTCTTAACATACTGTACTGTACCATAGATATGTATAGGCAATACTATTGTGTTCTATTTGATGTCTTTGTAGTGTACACTGTACAGCATTGCTCCAGAACCTACCTATCACTGCTATGAGTGTGGAGACCGTGATGGACATGGCTGGGGGCCGTATGTGAGTATCCTCCTGTGGCTGTGGGTTAGGTTTCACACACTCAGATACGTTCCACACAGGCTGGCCTCTCAGGGCTGCAGGGCTGGTACAAATCACCTCCATCTCTCTCTCCAGCAGAGATGCATTCTGCAGACCTGGACACACAATAGAGACGTCTAGAACAATGTGTGTGGTGGTCATTGTGTTGGTGGCTCAAGCCCAATCCCTCATTACAATTTTCATAGCATCTGTAGAGATGTATTTTCTTAAAGTAGAATTGATTAAATTAAACTGAATTAAAGCACCTTTTTGCAATACAAATATACTAAATATGATCACTTTACAGCTTTGCAGTACTTATACCCCACCGTGACCCCTACCCACAAATGACTAGAAAACTCAACCTCTTAGGAAGACGACAAAGTCCTCCACTCCACAGGAGCAGTTCCAGGGGTTGCCATCCAGCCTGATTTGTGTGGAGGGGGAGAGTGGGAGCAGGTCCTGGGGGCTAACCCTGGTCAGGCTGTTACCAGACAGATCCAAGTAGGCCAGGCTGTTCAGGGCACTAAAACAGCCAGGACTGATGGTCTGGATCCTATTCCTGGCCAAGTTTAGGCTAGTTAGGCCAGTGAGTCCTCTGAAACTACCTGTATTGATAAGACAGTACACCATTATGTTAGCTTCAGGAACTTCTTTACTAAGATAAAACCAGATATCATACACAGTGGATTGTGGGTAATGTAGTACATCATGCTACATTACCAGAACTGATGGTTCCGATCCTATTACCAGACAGGTCCAAACTGATCAGATTGGTCTGGTTGCTAAAACTACCAGGAGCAATGCTCAAGATCATATTCCTGGTCAGGTTTAGGCTAGTAAGACCAGTGAACCCACTAAGCATGGAGTCCTCTACAACTTCAATTTGGTTCTGAATTAGGGTGAGGTTTTGGAGGATGGCTGGTTGGCTGAACCAGGCTGAGCTGAGATGGGAGATGTTGTTGAAGTCCAGGCTGAGGGTCTTGAGGTTTTTGAAGAACCAGAGAGCTCTGGATGCGATGCAGGTAATACCAGCGTTGTTGATTGTGAGGCGGGTGACTGAGGCCAGGTTGTTACTACTGAACACAGTATGGTTGATTACTCCAACGTTACTCACAAAGAGCACCAGAGAGGACAGGCCAGCAGGGTAACCTGAGGTAATAAAAAATACATGTGTGTACTGGTGTTATGTCTTGTTTATAGGTATTTTATAGAATGTTGATCATAAAGTACAGAATACATTTTGACCCAAATATACAATATAAATGCCATAGATAAGAGCCAACAGATCCATGTTAATGTGTACCTTTGTGATCAAATATCTTTGTTTCTAAATCAGACTTACTTGGTGGGATCTCTTGACAGATGTAAATCTGTACTTCCTGAGTACAAGCGTTGGAGCGCCCCGAGCCCAGAACCCCACACAGCATCAACACAGAAAGGCCAGCAGCAGACACTGTGGGGATATGAAACAGTAATGGGACCTCAGCTCATACCTTCAATTCAAAAATACATGGCTGTGACAACCATCCAAACAAGGAATAGGAACTCACCGTTCATGATGAACTCAATGTGGCCTCAAATGCCAGGCATCTGGTTCCCTCCTGTAATAGTTGTCTTCAGACACAGAACAGAGTTGGATCTAGTCCCTCTCAGATGGCACCAGTGAGTCACAGTTTATCTTGTGACAGAATACCTGACTGAGCCACCTGCAGAGAATAAACTGTCCGTTGCCATGGCAGGCGTATGTATGTCTGCAGGCGTTTACCATGGTTATGAGTCCTGCTGCCATCGAAGCATGCCGGGTGCCGCTGTTCCAGTTGGGTGGTGGAGGGGAAGACAGTTAACACCAGGGAGGCTTGGAAGATAGTGAGATGTGCTGCTAACTCCCTTGGTTTACCTGTGATCTAGGTTTAACTTCAATTAGTCTTTTTGGCCCAGCACTGTTGGAAAAACTTTAGATATACATGATATTCAATTTAAGTGAACGATGCCATCAATAATCCCTAGGTAACTGGTGTAGGGTGAAAACAGGGCATGCAAAAATATACTGCAAATATGTATTGTAGGTGTCTGAATAGTCATGAACATGCACATGAATGCCGAACTATAAATCGAACTGTTGGTGATGTAGGCTGAAACATGTACATTAAGTAAAATGTATTCTCAACAGACAAAAAAAAAATGTTTTATTAACTTGAACATTTTATTCAGTTTCAGTGCGTCCGTTAAAAAATAAATAGATGGTATGATCTGAAAGAAATAGTAAAATGAACAGGGATGGAAATTGCATACAGTAACACAACTAAATGGTCATCAATGCCAATACAATCGTTTAGTAAACATAAAAACACTAACATTGAAAAGATCTATAAAGAAATTAACCAAATGCAGCAAATTATAATCAAGTATTCTACGTATTTTTGGAGACAGCCGTAGTAGTGAAGAAATGAGGACTTTTTAAATCGACTGCTCAGTGTTAAATCTTAGTGTTTTGTTTTAGTTCAGGAAGGGTAGTGTTTCTCTGTTGGGAGAGCAGAGGAGTTCAGTTTTAAAAACTATACCATGTTCTGTTTGTTTGCAATACGTTTCAAATGCCCATTTAAAGTTGAATTCCACTTTTTGTACTCCGTGAGTAAAGTGCACGTGCAACACTTATAGTTGTTCTTGAGGCCAACATACGGTATCTAATAATAAGCACTTGGACAGACAGAGAGAAATAGAAAATGGTGGCAGTGTTTGTTGACACCTTTCAGGAATGTTCTTTAATATCGGTTGGTAGGTAAATAAATAGACCATAGTCACACAGAGTAACCCATTATGAATATATGAAATACTGTCATTCAAACCGGTTACAGCAGGGCACACACACACACACACACACTCTTCAGAACAAGAGCATGCAGCTCTCTGGGGAAAGAGCTAGAGAAGAGGAGAAAGCTGGGTGGGTAGCAGGGTTGGGGTCAATTCAGTTCATTTAGGAACTAAGCCGAAATTAAAAATCCAATGGACTTGGAATTTTTGTTAACTTCCCGAATTGAAATGGAATTGACCCCACCCCTGGCGGGTATCACTCATGGAATTGAAAAGGGAGGGGGGGGGGGGGGGGGTGGTACATTGCATGATAAAAGCCTTTGAAACGTGATCATGAGTGGAGTGCACCTTTATACAGGACATAGTAGTGCCCAGTGAAGAGAAACACGACTAGCTCTAACTAGCTAACGTATGTCAGACAGATTCATGTATGTTATGATGAAAAACACAACATCATCAGCTCAACTGCTGTATAACCAACCACACTGCTCAATTAAAAAATATACACACCAAAACAAAAAAATAAGCATCATGACATTTTTCTACAGTACCAAAGCCTCTATTCATCGTCTGCACGCCCTCATTTTAGAGAGTTAAAAGGCGAGCAGACAAATAGTTTAAAACGACCATCATAATTCTATACACACCAGATAGACAGTGCTACAACGGGCTGATCTGCATTTAAAAGCAGTTGAAGTTTGAATAAATAGACAGTTGACAGTACCACTATGATGCGTGAAGAAGGCCAGCAGATGGTCTGGGAGGAGCCCAGGTAACAAACGGGAGATCAGAGCAGCACATTGGACAGAAAGATAACTGGAGAGGCAAGGTTGGCGATGCTTGTATGGTAGATCGTTCAACTGCAGATTGTTTTTTTTTGCAGCAGAACGGTCCTATAAGTCCTAAAGGGACATAAGGACCTTTCAGGTCAGATTTTGCAGTAGAGCGATTTTGAACAACCCACCCCCTCCAAGAGCAAGAGGGGCGTTCGTAGGGTCATAACCAGTCCAACAAGAGAGTGAGAGAGTGTGGGGGGGGGGGGGGTTATAGTGTTGTATGGACTACTGTATGTATGCTGCAGCTGAGCTCAACCATTCAGTGCCAAACCAATAAATACTTCAAGTAAAAATAAATCCACCACATGAAAAAATGCCACATGCTTCTCTTAGTCTTTAGAAAAACAGAAGCGAATGAATTGATGATCAATGGACACCCTGAACAGAATACATTGAGATCCAGAGAGGACCCTCCATATTGGTTCATGCAGATGACAATCCCACACACAGGCCACCAGCACAGATGTATACATCCATCCATGCCACCACATTAGTGTGAACTGAAGGAGCCACGTGTCTGTTCATACATGTGGCCTCTCCTTCAGATTGATAGAGGGAGTTTATTGGCTGTGGACATCAATGCAGTTTATCTAGGAGAGCAGGGTGGAATGGAACCTAGGACAACCTGGGAGTGGAATGGAACCCCAGAGTTCCAGGGGCCTCCACAGATTATTTCCCGCTCTTCTTTGGCACAGTGGTTCTCTTGGCCTGCCACAGGTGGTTGTGGATTGTGATGGCGTCTATGCTGACCGACACAGTCTTGGCGGGGATGACTGTGAACTGCTTGCGGTCCGAGCTGTATTTGTAGAGCTTGTCGATCATCTTCTTGCTGATGCTCTTGGGGCCCGTGCCGGTCAGCTTGAGGATCTCCTCCGTGTCTGGGAAGAAGGAGTAGACTCCCCGGAACTGGCAGCCCCCGTCCCTGAACAGGATCATCAGGTGGTGGGCCTCAACCTTCTCCAGCTCCTGGGATGAGATGGGGGGGGAAAGGAATTGTTAGTTAGTATGGCTGACAAATATCTTGAGAAGCATTCTCACATTCTAAGCAATTTGATACCCACAGGTACAGTGATGTCTGGATGTCCTCCTGGGAAGGGTCTGGAGTTTTCCCTTCCTGACCACCTGATTGACCCGCAAAAACTCTAGACTTAAGTTATACTCAGAGCACTTTAACAGGACATCAGTGTGTGTTTAGGATAAGAACATGCTGTGCTACAGCTGTAGAATTTTGAGCTGAGCAGCTCATTCTGGCCCACTAAATGTGACCTACATGTTACAGTGCTCATTTACCCAGCATGGGGTTTGGCTGAAGTTATAAATGACTGATAAATAGGACAGAAGAACTCAACTCTGGAGGTTGGTGGTTCACATCCCTACCTTGCAATTTGACTATGACAGTGGGATCACAACAGTATTGTGAGGAAGAGCCCACAAGTTACAGTTCAAGCCTATTATAAGACAAATAAACTGCTCTCCCTTTACGGCTGAATGGCCTGAGGAGGCAAGGAGCAGACTTTTTTTTTTTACGACTCATGTGTTAGGGGGGGGGACTACGGTATGTACTTAATCCAAGAGATTGTACAAGAAAAACGAACACATTTTAACATTATGTGAACACTTGAGGAAATCTCAGGTTTATCTCATATGAACATTCTGAGATATGAGTTCCCATGTCACACTATCTGGCCATTAGAGCCCGCCTTCTGCGAGTCTCCCTATAAATTAGAGGACTTACTAAACAGAAATTAGATCAGCTCTTCGTGAGGTGTGCCCACGCCTTAGAGGTAATGATCCATCTCCTTGAGAACCTAACGCAACTTTGACTTGCACAATCCAACTCCGACAGAGATAGCCATCTCCTGAGAGGATCTTTGCTGAACACACTCTGCTCACTCACAACGAACCGCTGAGTTTCTCTCCCTCCCAATGAGGACCCGAACATTCTACTGCACCCTAGTGCCTTAAGCTTTATCTCTTTGGACTGAACGGAATTGAGAACTGAGAAAGAAAGAGCTCCGACGAGGGAAGAGCTTCTTCGGCTGCAAACTCCAACGCCAGGACCACTTACCTTTTTCCTGTTTCATCGCTGTCAACGGAATTCCAACTGAACCAGACGACACTCAGTGAAAATACATTATTGCATTAAATGTCCCTTTGGGTGACGCTGTGTTTGTGTAAAAGTGGTGGCAGTAACTGATTATTGTAAGACTGTTAGTCTTAATTACATATCAATAACCAATACTGTCCTGGCGCTGTCCACAGCAGGTGTTAACCTGTAACCGGGCCGGTATACCCCTGCTTGGGGAGCCTATAGTTTCACGGCTTTGAAACTTTACTGATGTAGCCTCTCTTTCACTTCTCCTGTTTTCATAAATAATCATTTCCAATTCTCCAAAGTCCTGTTAAAGTGTTGTCATATCTCCCTGTGAGTACATAAGCCTTACTAATCTGTAGAGTTTTCCACTTCAATGATTGTACTGCATTCCATTTGTATCTTGAGTCTATTAAGACAACTGTACCTACCCTATTTTCAATCCATTTTAGTCTAGCAATAACACTTTGAAGTATATCTGTTGTTGCATTGAAGTCCTTAATGAGCAATTCGATTCTTGAAGTCAGAGCTCGATGACCATTCAGAATGAAAATATAGTAAATTGACTGTTGACTATTGTTGATATAGGATTAATGGTATAACGGTTAATGATAACTACTGATAGCGTTAATTCAAGGGGTCTCTATATCAAAAACCTTAAAATGGTGCCCCTCAGATTAATTTGGATAGGATAACAAAATTAATTAAATGATATCAATTATTCCAGTAATCAGTATTAATCAGTCAATTACCTTGAATATCCATAGCCAAAAGTCACAACAACAGTGAGATGACAGCTCACGTGTGTGTGTGTGTGTGTGTGTGTGACCATTTGCTCTGCAGTGTGTGTTAATAGCGTTTCACAGTAAGGTAAAGCTTTACCTCTAGGAGGGTGTTCTTCTGGGGTTCATTGACCTTGCCGGCCAGGCAGCAGTGAGAGATGGCATTGAAGATGATTGGCTTGTTGGACTTAGAACTGGGCTCCTTGAACAGCTTGGGACCTGAGGACACAGTGGACGACAAGTCTTCACATTAAATGCTAACATTAACAGAGACGAGGAGAAAGAGAGCAGAGCAATGGTTTTATGGGAACATTGTAGGGGTGTTATGGGAATATTATGGGAACATCATGGGAAAGACTGTTTCCCAGCATGGCAAAGACTGACTTTTATGTGTACTGACCAGTGTATTCTGCCATGGAGTTGATTGAAGATGCAGTGGATCCGTTGTCCCAGTCTCGCTCAGTGTTCCGACTGGCATTCCGACTCAGGCCTGGGAAAGACTCAACAGACTCACCACTGGCGACGGATAGCAGAGAAGACAGAGATGAGCAAACAAGAAGAGGTTTTAAAAAAATGGCACACAGAGAAAGAAAACAAACTGACAAATTATACCCAAACCAAAATACTTACACAACCTCCCACATACATATATTTGGGGCACTTACCGTTGGGATCCTGCCCCTCCAGAGTGAACGCTGTCTGCCTCAGTGGTGGCAGCGGAGGCCAGGGACAGACTGGAGCCTGATTGGGCACTGCTCAGGTTGTCAGCTACCGAGAACCAAAACACAGATGCCATCTTAGTATAGCTAACTCTTCCTATTACTCCTATCCTCACACACAGAAATGCATGACTGCAATATTGTCTCAATGAGAATGAGAATTGGGAGACATGAAACTGGCCTAGCCTGAGGATGTCAACCAATCCTGGTTCCAGAGAACCACAGTGTCAGCAAAAGTCCACACACACTGCAGCCCTCTAGGACAGGAGTTACTAACCCCAGGCCTAGTAAAAGAAACAAAAGTGTGGTGGTTTTTACGTGTAGAAGAAGAGCACTTGGAGGAGAAGGTGTCGCTGGAGGACTCCTCTCTGCTGAACACAGACTTGGGTCTGTGAGTCTGGTGACTGGGTTTCTTAGGCTTGGTCTTGGTCGTCTTGGGCTTGGCCGGGCTGCCGAGGCCCTGCTCCTCCATCAGCTCCTGCTGCTTCCTCCTCAGGTACTGCTCCTTTATCAGCTCCCTACGGGCCTTCTCCTCCTCCTTCCTCATCCTGTCCTCCTCCGCCTTCCGCCTGGGGGGAGACAGACCACAGGCTCAACAACTGCTGCATTTGAATAGACTTATAACACCCGGGAAGGAAGAGGGACAACGCAGCTATTTTCTGTGTTTTTCTATGAGTGAACATTTGAGGTGTAAAGAGCAAATATATAGGTGTGCAAAAACTTGTGACTACACTGGTAACACGCTATTGTGGGAGGGTTTTGGTGGTGTTGTTAAGCTAAGCTAGTGCTTAGACAGTCTTATCCTACCTGAGCATTATGTCTTATCTAACAGCCATAGTTTTGATTTGGTTGTAAAGACTTATGTTGGTTACCTGGACTCTTCCCGCTTCTGTTCGGTCTCTGCCTCCAGCTGTAGTTTACGTAACCGGGCCTCCTCAGCCTTCTTCTGCTGCCTTACGAGAAACGCTGCCCTCTTCTTAGCCAGCTCATCCTCTGCCTTCTGTTCATCCTGTAGCACAACACACTTACTAGTAGCATTTTCCTCACTTACATTCAATAAAACTTGATTTATGCCACAAACACTTGCTTGTGTCTCCTCCCTCGTCTCTTGCTGTCTCCGTAAGAAGTAGCTTTATTTATTCAGTGAAGTAGAATTTTATATTATTCCTTCCAGGCCAATTTTGTACTATAAAAATGATGTAATTCCTTTCCCTGTCCTAGACATTCGACCACTCAAAAGATTAGGGGAATAGACCGTTAGCCGGTAAAGAAATGAAAAGCTGATACAATTGTAGCTGGCCAAATTGTCTGGGAGAAAAACAATCCCCTCGATTAGGCTACCTAACATACACCCCGATTTCGTGCTACAGAGCGAGTGAGAGGAGCCTTGGCTCGCATATATATTTATTTTTTTTTTGTAAAATTACCAGGAATCTTTTCTCAATGTAATTCTAGGTATGAAATGATTTTATATATTTTTTTAAATCTATTTTTAGCCTTAGTTATGGTCAATTTGCAGTGTACAAATTATTATAATTATGCCCCCCGACCATCCGCTCGGACAAAGATCGGTCCGCGGCTGAATCCAGTTGCCTACCCCCTGGCCTAGGCTACTGTTATTGCGAAGATGGAGGCCTTTTACATTGAAGTAAAATGAAAGTTAGAGGAAAAAGAGTTTGTCTTTAGTGATAGGCCTATTGTAGTGGACAAAGATGAGAAGAAAGTTAGCGCGTCCAAATGCAGGCTACTGTGTGCAAATCACTATTCAGGTAGAATGCCAATTTTGGAACTGTTAATTTATTTTCGTATTTACAAGGTTTAAATTAACAACAAAAATCCCATGACTGAAACTTAAGTCAATCTCAGATCGATTGTCTGGGGCAAAGTTCACCTCCCCTTTCATGTAAGAAAGTCATGACCATCATGCCTTTAGGGAAAGAGGATCATTTTTAAAACTGCAAGTTTGACCAATTCCTGTCCCCTTGCTGAGGTGGTCATGGGCCCTCCCTGGGATCATTTTTATGTATTCCTGTCCCCTTGCTGAGGTGGTCATGGGCCCTCCCTGGGATCATTTTTATGTAGGACTGAGAAGCTCAGTTCTGGTGACTTTTTAAAAATACGTTCTACTCCAAAATGAATTAAAATAAAATTACGCTGACACCATCTAAAATATAATTTCCACCAACAGAAATGTGCCCAATAACATATTGGTAGAAATTATGTTAAAGGCCCAGTGCAGTCAACATTTATTTTTTCCTGTGTTTTGTATCATATTGTACAACAGCTGATGAAACTAACACTGTAAAAGAGTGTTAAAAAAAATTAAGCTATTTTTGTCAATTTTAATGGAAAATTTAAATTGTTACCCAGAAATTATTTGATATTGAGATAAAAACAGCTGCATTGGGCCTTTAAAATTATTTTAACATGTTGGACCATGTATATAGCCTATGCATGGTCTATATTCTCAGATGCGCTATTAGCAATAAGCATCATCACCTGTAGCCCAACTGATGCAGCATAGTGGCTATACAATTTCCATAGGTTGAATCATGGGATTTGTCCGTCTACATTTACCCCATTGGACACATCCTGATTGTTATTAATAATTTTATTATAAATCATTATTAATTTGATTAGATTTTTTGGGTTTCTATTAGAAAGTATGCCATTGCCCATTTTAAGACGCCATTGCCCCATTGAGCTCTGAGTTGCGCAGCTGCGCATAAACAATGCTTGAAACTTCGGTTGTAATTGCATTTGTAAAACGATGCCATTCGCACAATTGAAGTAGAGAAATAAATGTGGTAGCAATGGAAAAACTGGGATCCCCCTCTCTTTTAACAAAGGCCAAAACTGCTTTCAAAATAAAATTTGCCGTGGGCTTCCCGAGTGGGGCAGCGGTCTAAGGCACTGCATCGCATTGCTGAGGCGCCACTTCTGCCAGGGGGGCAGCGCACAATTGGCCCAGCGCCATCCAGGTTAGAGGAGGGTTTGACTGCTTGTCAGAATACATGTTTCCCTCCCTATTGCTCTCAACTTGAAAGCGCCTCAAAAATAGTAGCACTGGAAAGTTGCATCCTGGGTGAAATTAGATTGAAAATGTAGGAATTAGCCTGCTTCTTGTACGTCTATATCTGTATAGCAGACACAGTAGCCTATCTGACAAGGATAAAGAAATGCATGCCGCCAGCATCTCTCTCTCTCTCTCTCTGGAGCTAGGCCTAACCTTCTCTTCCTTCATATTATTATTATTTTTTAAATATTAATATCATACGGTGGACGTCTAAGCCTATAGGCCGCATGCAATGCCCTGATGCATTTAGTGCTCAAATCTCTGACAGCTGAACCGTGAGGTGGACAATCATTGTTTTAGGAAAGTAAAAAAAACTATCAAACAATAGGATATAATAATTTGCATATGATACACATCGAAACACAAAATAGCATAGTGTTTATGTAATTTGTTATAGGCTGTTTTTAAAGGAAACGTAAATGTAGATCATTTGGCCATTTCTCGGATCTGAATGCATATGGATGCCTGGTCAATTTCTCAAATGTCCGGTAAATTAAAATCTTCCCGGTCACGTTGTCCAGCGCCAAATTTTCCTGTCGGAAAACCACACACACACAAACACAAAAGAACACACACACACCTTGAAGAAGAATCCAAGGCCAGACTTCTGTTCCCCGTCTTCCCCATCCATGGTGCTGTTCTGACCACCGTCTCCCTCCATCTCCTCTGGGTCCTTCAGGTCTGACAGGTCCACCTCTATCAGGGGGGCTTTGCTCCATGACACCTCCTCCAAAGGGATGTTCTCCTTCCCCGAGCCGTCCGAGGAGTTCAGCTCCCCTTCCCTCAGGGCACTGGACAGGCACTCAAAGGACACTTCTGGGGTGACCGCTACCGGGTCGATACGGGCCACTGTGCGCAGGTTAGCCTCATCGTTGAGCCTAAAGGTGGCGCTCCGTCCAGGCTTGTCCTGCCCACTGATTGTCTCTCCTCCAACAGAGGGTGTTCTGATGTCGGGGTGGTCCACCCTGGGGGACCTGCCCCCGGGGAACTGCCTCAGGTGGGGCAAGGTCTCCAAGCTGTGGGTGGGGGTGATTGCCCTGCTGGAGGCAAGGCCCTGCCGCCCGTGCTCCTTGGCCAGCTTCAGCTCAGACGGTTTGGACCTTGGGCCTCTGGCCGAGGTCAGTTTGGGGGGTTTCCTGGTTGGTGCAGTACCTGTGGTTGGTGCGCCGCTGCCCATCTCCACAAAGTGGACTGCGGCTTGGGCCTTGGGTTCAGAGCCGCTGGTCTTGTCGTTGGCTGAGAACGGAGGAGGGGGGCCGGGAGGGGACTGTACATTCTGTTTCATCAGCAAGTCCTGCTGGAGGGACAGCTGCATCATCTGCTGCTGGATGCTGCCGATGGCATCATTCAGCATCTCAATGGAGCGGTTACATTCGTTCAGGTCTAGTTCTTCGTCCAGCAGCAGACCAGGGCTACCGCTGCCCTTCCTGTCCACCGTCTCTAAGGCATCTGGGAATGGCGAGGTGGCGGACTCTGTCTCTTTGGCCCCTCTCAGTGTGTCCAGGCATGTGTCATCTTTCGAGCTCCCCCCTTTGTCCCCGTTGAGCTCCTCTTTGGAGTAGTGGTCTGGTTTGAGCGGGAGGGGCAGGGTGTCGCTCTTGCCCTTCTTGACGATGTGCAGAAAGGCAGCCTTACCCAGCTTCTGTCTATGTCTGGCTGACAGCACCTCCATCTTCTTCTTCTGGTGCTCGATGGCCTTCCTCTTCTCCTCCAGCTGCATGTGGAGCTGGACCAGCTCAGAAGCCAGCAAGTTGGTCCCACCGTCCCCCCGTCCCCCCTGGGGCGAGGAGGGGCTCTGGTCCCTCTTCAGCCTCCAGGTGGTGGACAGAGACAGGGGCCCGCAGCACTCGGAGCCATCTGGGGTGGTCCTTTGGGAGCTGGATGCGCTGGTTCGCAGGTCTTGGTTGCTGCCAAAGCGCTGCTGGGCCTTCCGTTCTGCGAAGCTGGTCATACGTACGCTGCCGCTGGCCAGGCTGCTGGCCTGGGAGTGGGTGCTGAGACAGGGGCTGGAGCGTCCACTACCACCATCATCCCCTTTGTCCTTGTCCTCCTTCTCCTTCATGTCCTCCTGTAGCTTGGCTGACTCTTCCTCCTCGTCGAAGGCCTTCCTAGGCCTGGTTGGGTCCTTGGTGGTGAGGGCTTCATCCAAGTCCTCCTCATCAGCCTCTTCAATGTCTGGTTCCAGGTCCTGACCAGGCTTCTGGTTCTCACTGTCAGAGTGGAGGTAGAAGCCCCCAGGCGGCTCTCTGGAGGAGGGGTCCACACTACTGGTGACCAGGGGTTTGAAGGCTCCTAGTCCCTGGGGTGGCCCAGCCACTGAAGCTTCAGTAGACAGGTCAAACTCCCCACTAGAGGTGGGAGTAAAGGTCCGATTTAGGCTAGTGGGGGTTTTCCTCCTGGCCGACGCCGCGAGTCCAGGCCCCCCCTCTACACTTCGGATAGACCCCCCTCCCCACGATCGACCCACCTCCCCGCTCTCCTCCTCCTTATTCAGGCATACAGACTTCTCTTTCGCCGATTTCAACACAGCAGGCATCAGTGGTTCTAAGTAAAAGCTATCCTTGGGCCCGGCCCCAGCAGTGGCGGTTGGCTGCGTCGCCTCTCCCTGACTGGGGAGAGCGGCTGACGCATCAGTCCTCATCACCGACACAAGCTGCTCCTCCTCCTCCTCCATGTTGACGTTTCCTAGCAGGCCGTGGCCGTTGACTCGGCGGGGTGCAGGGCTGACTGAGGCACGGCCTACCTGGGCGGTTCTGATCAGGGTGTGGCCCTGGGGGGTGAGACCCTGGTGTTTGGGGGTGAGGTTGGCTACGTTAGAGGCCAGGCTGTCTTTACTGATGGAGCGGGCCAGACTCACACTGTCCCCAGAGGCTATATCAGCGTCGCTGTCGGTGGCTGAGATACCAAACGTGTATGGGTTGAGCGTTGACATCGGCCTGGAGGGAGGGAGAGAGGGGAGTGAGACACCATACATCATGAACGTGATCAGCACAACATTAGAAACAAAGTCTGTAAATGATAAGAAATCAGGTTTTCTGGAGTTAAACAAAATAATACGATCTGAGATTCCTGATTCTTTGATACACGTGTATCATTAATTTTAGAACATTTCATACCGTAAGAAAGAAAGGCGTTATTGTCATACTATACCTCTGTCTCTTGTCAGGCCAGGCCTGCACTGAGCCTCGTAGCTGTCTGTTCTCCAAGGAGTTGGAGCGGTTTCTAATTCCTAGACACACAGACAAAACATTGACCATACAGCTACCTATAATACACAATAGAAAAGCCATCTCTGATATTGAAATGTGGGCTGTAGTAATATTCCACTATAACAAAAAGGCACACAACTAGAGAAAACCACCAGAAAAGTATAAATGTAATTTGTAAATGTGCCTATGGGTGGCTTTGGATAGTCTTCTATGGTAAATGGTAACTGTGGTGGTGTTTTACCTGATCCGTCATCTCCCTGCTGCTGCTTCTGCTGTCTCTGCCTCAGAGGGAGGAGTGGGTGGGACGGGCTGAAAGCTGCAGCAGGACCTCTAGTACTGTGAATCACACACACACAAACCATTACCTACCTAGTCTACCAGTCTTTGAATGTGGTCTGCTGATGTACTGCTAAAATTCTATTTTTGCAGAATGATATGCTTTCCTAGACTATGTGAATTCATTGAGGTCTTACGTGATTCATTCCATCTTAATTACCCAGACAGTTTAAGGGATTAGCCCTTACACCTTCAGTAAAGCAGATTGACCCACATTCCCTAGAACATTATAGGTTTAGTCGTCTCACACAGGGAATCATCTTATTGCTTGCATTTTTTTTAAAGTCCAATGCAACCGTTTTTATCTCAATATCAAATCATTTCTGGATAACAATTAAGTACCTTAGTGTGATTATTTTCAATTAAAATGGTCAAAAAATGTTTTAGCAAAGGGCAATTTCTCAAGCAAGAATTTTGCTAGGACTGTCTGAGGGTGGTCTGAGTGGGGATGGGAAAACTTAAAATTAGCTGTTATTAGCAGAGGGGTTTGGAACACTTATTGGTCTATTAACTAATTTACTGCATGGTGATGTCACCATGGATGGCCAAAACTCCATCCCACCAAAACAGGCTGCGATTTCAGGCAGTCTTTTCAAACAGCTCTTATACTAAAAGGGCATTATCATAACTTTCAGTATTATTCCAACCTCAGTGTGGAAGTACAAATAAAACACAGCAAAATCACATATTTGACTGCACTGGGCCTTTAAGAATGAGTGAAAGTGAGAACTAAAAAAGTAAAACAGACATCAGGAAGAGACACCCCATAACCACCCACCCGCCACACGGATAAACAACCCATCATTCAGTTGACTATGGTCTTTGTCCATCTGACCTACTGTCCCTTTAATCCCATTAATTAACCCCAATCCTAATCTTTTACCCTCCCACTGATCAACCAACAAACACGATACACAATGTTCACGGAATATGTTTTCTTCAAGGCTGGAATGATTGTGAATCATGCATTAAATTAATATCGATAAACACAGTGGAGGAGAAAGCGAGGGCAAAAATTGGAAGGGCCAGTTAATGCGTGTGAAAGATGAGAGGAAGCCATGTAACATGTTCAAAGATCTCTATGGGAAATACAGATTGATGAAATGACAAGGGTGGAGAGAGAGGAAGGAGAGACTTACAGAGGATCAGAGTCTTCAGCAGGGTGCAGGAAGTACCTGTTGGAGACATCAGGGCTGCTCTGGGCAGACACAGACAGTGAGGCCTCGGTGATGCCAGGGGTCACCTGGAAGCTGCGCTTGGTGGCGTTGGAGATGGGCACTGAGGGGCGGGCACTCTTTGGCTGAGCCATGGCTCGGGCTGTTGTGAGAGGAAGGGGAGAGGTGTCAATCAAAACAGAGGTGGGTGGGGTAAGGAGTGGAAATTGTATCCTTGAACTGCTGCTGCTTATTTCCATTCCCAGTCAAGTTCTGTCTAAATGTAATCTGTTAATATCAGAAAAATCCACAAGTCAACATATATAACAGACTATTGAAATGGCAAGGGGATTATCTACAAACTTGCAATGAAAAGTTGTGGGAATTATAGTAATTTTAAAAAACGACATTTGAAAACAGTTTAACCAAATCATTTTCTATAAGAAAGAAACCATTAATACTGTTCTTCCTTGTCCTGCAGGTTCAACAGCTTTAGTTGATCCACCCAGCTGGCACTTCCCTCCCTGCTCATACAAAAAACATACTGCACAGTACATCACTATATCTCAACTAGGCTTTGGCGGCATACCGTATACTGGGGTATTTTGAAATACCGAAGGTATGATTCTCATTATTGTCAAAATAAATAAATAATCCTAAATAAAATCCTATTTATACAGTGGGGAAGATCAAGTATTTGATACACTGCAGATTTTGCAGGTTTTCCTACTTACAAAGCATGTAGAGGTCTGTAATTTTTATCATAGGTACACTTCAACTGTGAGAGACGGAATCTAAAACAAAAATCCAGAAAATCACATTGTATGATTTTTAAGTAATTAATTTGCATTTTATTGCATGACATAAGTATTTGATACATCAGAAAAGCAGAACTTAATATTTGGTACAGAAACCTTTGTTTGCAATTACAGAGATCATACGTTTCCTGTAGGTCTTGACCAGGTTTGCACACACTGCAGCAAGGATTTTGGCCCACTCCTCCATACAGACCTTCTCCCGATCCTTCAGGTTTCGGGGCTGTTGCTGGGCAATACGGACTTTCAGCTCCCTCCAAAGATTTTCTATTGGGTTCAGGTCTGGAGACTGGCTAGGCCACTCCAGGACCTTGAGATGCTTCTTACGGAACCACTCCTTAGTTTCCCTGGCTGTGTCGTTGTCATGCTGGAAGACCCAGCCACGACCCATCTTCAATGCTCTTACTGAGGGAAGGAGGTTGTTGGCCAAGATCTCGCGATACATGGCCCCATCCATCCTCCCCTCAATACGGTGCAGTCGTCCTGTCCCCTTTGCAGAAAAACATCCCAAAAGAACTATGTTTCCACCTCCATGCTTCACGGTTGGGATGGTACTCATCCTTCTTCTTCCTCCAAACACGGCGAGTGGAGTTTAGACCAAAACGCTCTATTTTTGTCTCATCAGACCACATGACCTTTTCCCATTCCTCCTCTGGATCATCCAGATGGTTATTGGCAAACTTCAGACGGGCCTGGACATGCGCTGGCTTGAGCAGGGGGACCTTGCGTGCGCTGCAGGATTTTAATCCATGACGGCGTAGTGTGTTACTAATGGTTTTCTTTGAGACTGTGGTCCCAGCTCTCTTCAGGTCATTGACCAGGTCCTGCCGTGTAGTTCTGGGCTGATCCCTCACCTTCCTCATGATCCTTGATGGCCCACGAGGTGAGATCTAGGTGATTGACCGTCATCTTGAACTTCTTCCATTTTCTAATAATTGCGCCAACAGTTGTTGCCTTCTCACCAAGCTGCTTGCCTATTGTCCTGTAGCCCATCCCAGCCTTGTGCAGGTCTACAATGTTAATCCTGATGTCTTATACAGCTCTCTGGTCTTGGCCATTGTGGAGAGGTTGGAGTCTGTTTGATTGAGTGTGTGGACAGGTGTCTTTTATACAGGTAACGAGTTCAAACAGGTGCAGTTAATACACGTAATGAGTGGAGAACAGGAGGGCTTCTTAATGAAAAACTAACAGGTCTGTGAGAGCCGGAATTCTTACTGGTTGGTAGGTGATCAAATACTTATGTCATGCAATAAAATGCAAATTAATTACTTTAAAAATCATACAATGTGATTTTCTGGATTTTTGTTTTAGATTCCGTCTCTCACAGTTGAAGTGTACCTATGATAAAAATTACAGACCTCTACATGCTTTGTAAGTAGGAAAACCTGCAAAATCGGCAGTGTATCAAATACTTGTTCTCCCCACTGTATATAGGCTTTGGGCACCCTGAAGCTCAGGGGGTGCGTGGTACACCACTGATTAGAACTATAGGTTAACTATCTAAGATGTGCCAAATAAATGTTCTCCAGCTCAGCGCTCCAACTATGCATTTGGTTTGCTAACTTGCTAGCTAAGTGGCTACCTTGCAAGATCAAGCTTATTGGTTACAGCAGAGACAACCAATCCCCTACTGGATCAGATGAAGAGCAGATGATGCTCACCATCTTTGAACTCCTCAGTCCTGGGTTGGACAAACTCTGGCTTGACCGTCTCAAACCACCAGAAGAACTCAGCGATGAACACCATCACATTGTGCTGCAGGGAGAGAATAGGAACCATGTTAGATAACTGACTTATATAGCCTAATGTCCTGGCAGCTAGCTATCCGTGGTTAGCTTAGCATCGCACAGTAACATTGCCTTTCCCCATGAGAGATAAAGTACTGTCGCCCTAACAACCAATATTTTTGTGGGCTAGCAGAGTACTGTTGTGAGTATGGAATCAAATCCCAGAAACAGTTTGGTAAACGCTACACATGCAACAGCTCATAAACTCTAATATATGGAATCTTTACCTTTAGCACCAGTGGAGAGTAGAGCATATCTTCTATTGTTAGGTAAAAGCTCTTGTTGAGATACTCGTTGGCAAACTCCTTGAGCAGCTGGATGTTGTACAGACTGTCGGCTATGGAGGTCACCTCCTTCAGGCAGATATCTGATAGGAGACACACAGGTCAAAAGGTCAGGATGGCGCTGAAAGACCTGCTGCTTAGATATCACATAGAAAGAGCACAGGGTTGCACAACTCTGCTTACTACAGTAAGGGAAAACCACTAGTATACAATGGTCTATTTCAATTATAAATCAGATGAAAGACATTCTTGATTGCTTTAGTTCAATCAAGGCCTTTTAACTAGGCCTAACCAGGGAAACAAATTGCATAGGCTACCTCTGACAATCGAAGTAATTCAACATATCTAATGATTAACCTAAGTTTGTGGAGTGGGATGTCCTACCGTCAAGCTTCATGAGGTCGGGGCAGTAGTAGTGGACCACAGTGAGGAGTGCGGCTCCATCACACACGTCCCTCATCAGGTCCTCCAGTAGGGGGAAGAAGGGCAACTGGCGCCCCGATGTGTGCTCCCTGCGGTACCGCACCTGACCACCAGGGGGAGGGAGAGAGAGTCAGAGGGGCTCCAGCCATAGAGATGGGCTGAGTTATTATAGTCCTACTATACAGCCTTGGGCTTATTCAGTGGAGGGCAATGTTTATAAGGTTGCAGATAGAAATATAATGACAAGAGTAGATAGAAATGTAATGACAAAAGCAGACACGATTCCCTGTTGAATAAAACAGAATCATGTGCAGTCGAGACAATGCATTCCTATCGGAATTCATTTAGTGGCACTCCCTGAATAAGCCCCAACCTGTCTGTGTGAGGGTGGAGATGGGTGGGGTGGCCCAATAGAGCAGTGACATGGAGCAATGGTTGGTCTGCCACCAACCCTCACAAACCTCTCTGTGAATGCGGTGTCACTGTCCCCACAGTCAAACCAGGCCACTGGCATACAGAAGAGGGTCACATGGGAATCACTGGCCCACTTCTGCTGGCTAACTGTGTTGTGGAAAAAACCCTAAGCTAGCCTATTGTATTCATCAATGCCGTAGTCTACTGGCCAGGACTAGCTGAACAGCCTGAACCATATTACATTCACTTAATGATTAAACCAAACTAAACTCCAACCATCAACCAAATACAAGGACTACAGACTGAACATTTAATAAAGGATACTAAATGGACCACAATCCATAGGCCTCACACAGTGTAATCACAACTTGGCCACAGTAGTAACAAATAATACAACTCACCCTGCAATCTGACTATACAAATCTTATGGGGGGGGGGGGGGGGGGGGGGGGGGGGGGTAATTATTCAAGTGTAACTACCATAAAACAACACACACTAATATTGAATTGGGAAGTAGCCAATTCTACATGGGTAGGCCTAACTAGAGTGACAAGTCAGAGAAACCAGAGAAAAAGATGACTAGAAGGTGCCAGATCTCTAGGGAGGCAGGGACATCTACAGTAAGGAGGCCTACTGTAAGTGTACCACTGTGGACAGCTCCAGCTCCTCTGGTTCCAGCATGCAGTGGGCATGCATGAAATCAGACTGAGACGCACAGACAGCAGAGAGTGTAAGAAGGACACTGTGAGAGGCCAGGGAGAGACCACATGGGTATAGCAGACAGACAGCATAGGAGGTGTGGGCATGGTAGAGGTTGCTGCCACAGGTGGAAATGGCATCAACATCTCAGCCAGCACATGAGCAAAGAAGGAAAGCAAGAGCTGAGCGATGGATAGATACATAGCTTTCTCTCGCTCTCAATCAAGACACACATTTTCTGTTTCTCACACACACTGACTTTCACACAAGCCATTATGACTCCAGTTTGCAGCAGTTTGAAATGAAACGCAAAAAAAAAAATTGTTCACCCAAAATAAACATTTTCACCAAATATCCAAAACCACTAGACTAGACAACAGTGTGTGACATTCAACTCAAAATAAAATAACAAAACCACCTGCCTTGTCCCACTGGCTGGCTGACTCACTCACTGGCTACAAGCAGCACAGAATGGGCTTGGATGAGCCATGGTGGTGTGGTGCGTGTGCACATAGACACAGAACTATGCGTGCAAAAGGGAGAAGAGGAGGGGGGACTACTAGCAGCCAACTTACAGGTACTAGTTTCCAATACCATTTGGAGGGAGACTATCCAAGTAGCAGGAGAGGGGGAGGGGGGAGGAGGAGACAGACAGAATAGGAGCAGAAAGGTCAGACAGGATTAGATCTGCTTCCGGGTTAAGGGTTAAGAGAACAGAGGTCAATCAGGGTTCAACCCCAAATGGCAGGAGATGAAGAGCACTGTTGACTTGGACCAGGTCTCTCTTGGAAAATAGATATTGTTATGTCGATGAGACTAACCTGCATCAATACAAAGAAATTGGTTTTACAACAGCAATTATTCTTGGAATGTGCCCGGGATGTGTGGACTGGAGTCTAGAGTCTGATGATCCATCAAGAGCAGCAAGCTCCATGGGGGCCATTTTGCCTCAAGCACTTCAGTTTCCTCATCTTCTATCTAGGGTAGTGCAATGAGAGCGCTGTGCTGCTCCAGCCTTACCTTCTGGTGATTGGGAGACTCCAGCGGGTGATGCTTGACTTTAAGCTCTCTCTCTGTGATCTCCCTCATCTTCAGGTTCACCTGCAACAAAAGCAACAATCACTCAGTTCTTAAACCTCTATTTTCTGAACGTCTCAAGCTCACAGCTGCTGATAGACAACTAAAATAAGAACCTGTATGTTACACACACACACACACACACACACACACACAAAGACAGACAAACAGACCCCACCACTCTTTTAATATTGTGTGTGTGGCAAATATATGTTTGTGTATTCCCCACCATACCTTGTTGATCCAGAAGACCATGGCGTCCTCCAGGTCAAAGGGCAGCTCCTTGGAGGCGCTGAAGGTGGAGAAGCGTTTAACGCAGGCCACCACCTTCTCTATGCTGATCATCTCCACCGTGTAGGCCATCATCAGGGCATCAACCATCGGCATGTGGGCACTCTGGAGGGAAACGATGGCACAGATTAGGTCAGAAAACACACACACACACACACACACACTGTGTAAAGGTAGGTCATCGTAGGGGCATGTGAGAACTCCGGTAGATGGAGGGGGAGTGAGGGATGCATAGGTCTAGGTCAGTTCAGAAAACACTAGGGTATTGATCAATCATGGGTATGTTGGCACTGTGTGGGGGAAGGACGAGCCAGAACAACAATCCTGTTATACCAAAATCAGGGCATGGACTATGGGCACAGGGCACTCAGTGTGTGAGGGGAGAGGGATGGAAAACAGCAGGTCCATCAGGGCATCGATTATGGGCATGTGATGGTGATGGGTGGGGGAAACTAAAATCAGGGGCATGTGGGCACATGAGGACATGGGCACATAAGTCTAATTCAAGACACGCTCCAGAATTTTTCAAACCTCCCGCTTTGGGCTGGATGTGTCAATGTGGTTCATACTTGCATCATCTATGAGCAGAATTACAGTCTTACCTCAATTAGCCACGAAATCCCTAGTTTGAAAGCAAATGTTTACTGGAAGCTGTGTGGTGTCATTTTCCCTACATTTTCCCCCACCTGGGGCAGCCCCCTAGCAATTCGAGTTCCAGCCAATGAACTTTAGCCCCTTGCCATTTGGGTGACAGCTAGCAAGATACACACAGAAGAGCGAGAGAGAGCGCAATGACGTGGTGCACAGGTGACATAGTAAGCAATTTTCGTGGACCACTTTTTGCCCTTGAGCGCTACTTTCAGAACTACTGGCTACAAAGTATACAAAAGTACCAGAGAATCTCTAAGGGATGACTGGACAATCCTAAAAATAAATAACCTTGGCCATGGCTTTGTTTCACCACCATCTCCTGAACCAGCCAACACACAGAGTGACAATCTCACCTGACCTCTGACACACTGACGTAACTTAGATTATTCTAACGCAATAAAGACAGAGGAAGGAATCCCTCCCAACACACTATGTCTCTGTCCAAACAATCAGCCTTAATACCTCTCCCAGGGGGACAGAGATAACACATTAGGGCATAGAACAGCTTATTAGGGATTTTTGAGCAGTGAGATATCCAAATACTGCTACTCAATTAGAGCCCAGTATTAAGGCCCAGTCATATACACTACATGGCCACAAGTATGTGGACACCTGCTCGTCGAACATCTCATTCCAAAATCATGTGCCTTAAAATGGAGTTGGTCCCCCCTTTGTTGCTATAACAGCCTCCACTCTTCTGGAAGGGTTTCCACTAGATGTTGGAACATTCTTGCGGGGACTTGCTTCCATTCAGACACGAGCATTAGTGAGGTCGGGCACTGATGTTGGGCGATTAGGCTTGGCTCGCAGTCGGCGTTCCAATTCACCCCAAAGGTGTTCGATGGGGTTGAGGTCAGGGCTCTGTGCAGGCCAGTCAAGTTCTTCCACACCGATCGACAAACCATTTCTGTATGGACGTCGCTTTGTGCAACGGGGCATTGTCATGCTGAAACATGAAAGGGCCTTCCCCAAACTGTTGCCACAAATTTGGATGCACAGAATCGTCTAGAATGTCATTAAATGCTTTAGCATTAAGATGTCCCTTCACTGGAACTAAGGGGCCTAGCCCGAAACATAAAAACAGCCACAGACCATTATTTCTCCTCCACCAAACTTTACAGTTGACACTATGCAGTTGGGCAGGTAGTGTTCTCCTGTCAACCGCCAAACCCAGATTTGTCTGTCGGACTGCCAGGTAGTGTTCCAGAGAACGTGTTTACACTGCTCCACAGTCCAATGGCGGTGAGCATCACACCACATTGCTTTACGCATGGTGATGTTAGGCTTATGTGCAGCTGCTCAGCCATGGAAACCCATTTCAAGAAGCTCCCGACGAACAGTTCTTGTGCTGACGTTGCTTCCAAAGCCAGATCGAAACTCGGTAGTGAGTGTTGCAACCAAGGACAGACAAATTTTTACGCGCTACGGGCTTCAGCAGTCCCGTTCTGTGAGATTGTGTGGCCTACCACGATGCGTCTGAGCCGTTGTTGCTCCTAGACGTTTTACTTCACAATAACAGCACAGAGATGACCGGGGAAACTGTAACAGGGCAGAAATTTGACAAACTGACTTGTTGGAAAGGTGGCATACTATGACGGTGCCGCGTTGAAAGTCTGAGCTCTTTAGTACGGGCAATTCTACTGCCAATAATTGTCCATGAAGATTGCATGGCTGTGTGCTCGATTTTATACACCTGTTAGCAATGGGTGTGGCTGAAATAGCCGAATCCACTACTTTTGGCCATGTAGTGTAACTGGCTCTGTGTAGACCTCAATGCAATGCGTGAACTAACGTTATTGCCTTGACACAGGAGTGAGTATAATTCCCTGAAATGTGACCTTAGCATCTAGGTGTGCCATGGTGCTAAGCACAGTAGCCTAGCTAGTTAGAGCAAGTCTGACCCAAACACACTGTGTTGTACGTACAGTGCCTTCAGAAAGTATTCATACCCCTTGACTTATTCAAAAATAAGTCACCCATTTACACACAATCCCCCATAATGACAAAGTGAAAACATGTTTTTAGAACTTTTTGCAAATGTATTGAAAATTAAAAATACAGAAATCTAATGTATATACAGTGCGTTCGGGAAAGTATTCAGACCCCTTCACTTATTCCACATTTTATTATGTTACAGCCTTATTCTAAAAATGGATAAAATATTTTTTTCCCCCTCAGCAATCTTCACACAATACCCCATAATGACAAAGCAAAAACAAGTTTTTAGACATTTTTGCAAATGTTTTAAAAATAAGAAACTGAAATATCACAAGTGTTCAGACCCTTTACTCAGTACATTGTCGAAGCACCTTTGGCAGCGATTACAGCCTCGAGTCTTCTTGGGTATGACGCTACAAGCTTGGCACACCTGTATTTGGGGAGTTTCTTGCATTCTTCTCTGCAGATCCTCTCAAGCTCTATCAGGTTGGATGGGGAGCGTCGCTGCACAGCTATTTTTAGGTCTCTCCAGAGATGTTCGATCGGGTTCAAATCCGGGCTCAGGCTGGGACACTCAAGGACATTCAGAGACTTGGCTGCTTAGGGTCGTTGTCCTGTTGGAAGGTGAACCATCGCCCCAATCTGGAGGTCCTGAGCGCTCTGGAGCAGGTTTTCATCAAGGATCTCTGTACTTTGCTCCGTTCATCTTTCCCTCGATCCTGACTAGTCACCATGCTTCACAATAGGGATGGTATCGGCGATGAGCGGTGCCTGGTTTCCTCCAGACGTGACGGTTTGCATTCAGGCCAAATAGTTCAATCTTGGTTTCATCAGACCAGATAATTTTGTTTCTCATGGTCAGAGTCCTTTAGGTGCCCTTTGGCAAACTCCAAGCGGGCTGTCATGTGCATTTTACTGAGGAGTGGCTTCCGTCTGGCCACTCTACCATAAAGGCCTGATTGGTGGAGTTCTGCAGAGATCGTTGTCCTTCTGGAAGGTTGTCCCATCTCCACAGAGGAACTCTGGAGCTCTGTCAGAGTGACTTTCGGGTTCTTGGTCACCTCCCTGACCAAGGCCCTTCTCCCCCGATTGCTCAGTTTGGCCGGGCAGCCAGCTCTAGGAAAAGTCTTGGTGGTTCCAAACTTCTTCCATTTAAGAATGATGGAGGCCACTGTGTTCTTGGGGACCTTCAATGCTGCAGAAATGTTTTGGTACCCTTCCCCAGATCTGTCCCTCGACACAATCCTGTCTCTGAGCTCCACGGACAATTCCTTCGACCTCATGGCGTGGTTTTTGCTCAGACATGTACTGTCAACTGTGGGACCGTATATAGACAGATGTGTGCCTTTCCAAATCATGTCCAATCAATTGAATTTACCACAGGTGGACTCCAATCAAGTTGTAGAAACATCTCAAGGATGATACATGGAAACAGGATGCACCTGAGCTCAATTTCGAGTCTCATAGCAAAGGGTCTGAATACTTATGTAAATAAGGTATTTGATTTTTAATAAATTTGCAAACATTTATAAAAACCTGTTTTCACTTTGTCATTATGGGGTATCAATTTTAGAACAAGGCTGTAACATAACAAAATGTGGAAAAAGTTAAGGGGTCTGAATACTTTCCGGAAGCACTAAGTATTCACACCCCTGAGCCAATACATATTAGAATCACTTTTGGCAGCGATTACAGCGGTGAGTCTTTCTGGATAATTCTCTAAGAGCATTGCACAACTGGTTTGTACTATATTTGAACCAACATTTTTTTTTTAAGTCTTCAAGCTCTCTCAAATTGGTTGTTGATCATTGCTAGATAACCATTTTCAAGTCTTGACATAGTTTTTACTTACATCTGCTTGAACTTGTAACTTGGCCTTTCAGGAATATTCACTGTCTTCTTGGTAAGTAACTCCATTGTAGATTTGGCATTGTGTTTTAGGTTATTGTCCTGCTGAAAGGTGAATTCATGTCCCAGTGTCTGGTGGAAAGCAAGCTGAACCAGGCTTTCCTCTTGGATTTTGCCTGTGCTTAGCAGTTAGCTGCTAGCCACCACAAAAAAGGAGCAGGCTAACGCTAGCAGTGCTAGCCAACCAGTGTTTTTATCCACCGCTGGGCAGAAATTACAATCACAAGATGAAGAATAAGGTGGAACTGGAAAATGGACAGAGATTTGTCTGCCCTAAATGCACCACCATCAAGCAGCTTAGGGAAGAGATCCTCCGTCTGTTAGCTCAGCTGCGAGAAAAGGATAACCTGCTTTCTAAGTAAACTGCCCTTGCTGTAACCCAGGCAAACCAAATCTTAGTTTTAAATGCCTCCTATAGCAAAGCTGTCGATGAGTCGGGTGGCATTGATCTGTTCCAAACCAATGCACAGATGTTAAGTTCAACTCGGCAGCCCTTGGGAGACTGTACACTCGCAAGGCGTAGGAGATAGGGGAGGCAGTCTGGCCACCTTCATCTATCCGAGAAGATCCGATCCAGCTATCCAACAGCTTTGCCCACTTGAGAAGTACCTACCAGCCCCGGGAGTCAGCACGGATCCTGGGTGTATAGCACGACCCAGTGGCTGCCCAGTGGCACCCTCCCCCACGGTCACCACAGTTCAGCAGGTCGCCAACTCAAGACAGAAGGGTCTTGGGCCATC